GACAGTATCAAGAAAATTCTCTTTAATACAGCATTGTGGTTAGAAAACCCTTATTCACTTCTGATGGTACAGCACCTAAAGAAAAAATTAGCTACTGCAATCTTTTTCTCACTGTAGTTTATGATGGTCTGAATCAAGACCAACAGGGTCTCCCCCTCACTTGCTGTTGTTCATAGTCACTAAAAGCCTTACTAGAAGTATCGTGCTATGGTGCTCCTTTTCCACAACAAGGCCCAAAGATACCTGCCTGTCACTTCACACACAGCTATCTTACTGTTACAATAATTCTCAACAATTAATTGAGTACCCAAATGATATCAAGTGTAAATTAGAACTAGTAGTGTGTCCATATGCACCATTGGCTTATGGTAAAAACCTATTTCACATACTGTACAGTACCTGTAAAGTCAGACTTACAAGACTGCAACTAATATAGCACAATATGACCCCCTCCTTCAGAAAACTCTAAACAGTACTGTATATATAAATAGAAAAAGAATTGTTTATACATTATAAAAAGGCAATAAACATGTACTGTATTTTTAAAAGGTTATATACACTCTAAGTAGAAAAAATGAACACAGCATCAATACTATACAATGTGTACAGCTTCAGTTGGTGACTGTCATGTATGCAAAGTTTCATTAAATTTTGCTCAAAGTTCTACAACATGTTAAGCACAAAAAGATTATGTAATTGTATGAGCTTAACTCTGTAAGAGATTGTAACTTTGGGAAAAGGTGACAAACTAAAGATTATACAATATGTGCATCTTCAGTTCGACTATCATGTGTACAAAGTTTAATTATATTTAAACTCTGTTGAAAAGTGAAAGACTAGTTAAGTGCACAAACTTTGCATATATTGTATTAGCGAGTTTAAATATGTAAAGGACCATAACTTGGTATAAATTGACCAAACTTCAAGTTAATACAATATACACATCTTTAATTAATAAACACTATGTTAAAATTCCAAAATACAATATTCTGCTGAAATCTGTTAGTTGTAGTTAGGTGCACAAGTTTTCTGCATGGACGGACGGACGGACGAAGGGCATATCTTTATCCCTCATGCTGGGCGTTGTGGTGGCAGGGGTTACTAAGGGGAGATATATCCATCCTATTTCCCTGTCTGAGATATTTGATGGCAGGTCCATGTGGTTGATGATGCAGATTGGCTCATAATTGATTACTGAGGGGGACCACATTATAGCTGTGAGTTAACCCTCCCTATTCAGCCCTACATAAATAATCAAGTGTTGCAATTATCTTTCATCCACTAAATTCAAAATCAATTATGTATGTATCTACATTATCTTTCCATGAGAAGAGTTGCTAAATGAAACTGACAAAATCAAATTGAATATTACAAAATAAATTAGCTTTAAGTTTTAGTTCTTTCTAGTTTCTTTACATTATGATAGTATTTTAAAAAAAAGTTTTGGAACTATTACCGGTACAGTAATTGTATGTTAATACATTACAGTATATATTCGTTTGGCAAGACAAATCAAGTTCCGAGATACACACCACCACCCTACTCTACTAGATGTTGAGATGACAAATAACCACTCTTACTATATCTAAAAAATTTATTTATGTATTATGAACACAGTAAACCCCTTGGCTAGTTTGGCCAAAATTCTAACCTTGACCTTAGACTCATAAAAGCACATCATTGTTTGTGATGATGTGCTTAAAATATTGTAAATGAATCCACCTATAATTGTAAGACTAGTCATGTTGGGACACATACTGTTACAGCACATAGATAGAGCACTTATCTCCACTATCTTGATTCCCCAGAAGCCCACAGTAGATAAAGCCTGATCTTTCTAGAGTTAGTTAGAGTCATCTAGGGATAAGTAATAACTGTCTTTGGAGGTTTATGTGCATAAATTGTTCTTCTATCTAAATTATCAATTTACAGTATTACAATGATTCATAAAAAATCAACATGATTAAAATATTTTTCTTTTAAACACTTGCACAGCTTCAATGATTCAACCCTCAAGAAGCTTGAGTGATGAGTGAAAGGGACATTCATGAGTCACAGTTCTGTCTCAGTCTCCCATACAATTCATTCTCGCCAAGTGGCAAAGAGCGGACCAGCAGCATAAAGTACCCTACAAGTAATGACTTCTCTACCATGGACAACAGTATGAACATTTTAGCATTAATCAATCTGCTATGAACTGTTGTAAAAAGTCTCAATCATCTTTTTTTTTATTATTGCACAGAAGTGGAATATCAAAATACCTGCAGCATGAAAGTCAATGATAGTCAAATATACTGGAGAAAAATGTGCAAATGTAAAGTCTGGAAAAAATAATAATGCTGCACACATCTTATCAGGAAATACTTATACACATGTTTTGTATGGTGCACCATGACTGATTAAATCTGAGGGAGTTGTGATAATCCTGTCTAATGGTAACCTAACCTACTGATATTATCTCCTCACCAAAGTGGCCCATAAGTTATCAACCTACCTTAACCTAACCCATAGCACCTTATTCTAACAATCTGCATCTTTTTAATATTCATTTTTATTCAATGTAAAACATTATTTCAAATATCTACATACAGAGTTCTTTAACATGTATTGCAGTCACTATCATTGGGTTTTCAACTGGTAGAGAGTTGCACTAGTCATTTATTGGCATTTGAGGACATTGTATCCACTTCAAACTGGACTAGGTCATGTAATATAAGAGATGCAATAATATGTATCCAAATACCACACATTCATGACATACACTATTTGCACAAGTAAAATGAGAAACTAATGAAGTGGCAGGAATATGTGAGAGAACAGTGAACATGTAAAGAAGGGATAGGGCAGGATAGGCACAATACATGAGCTTAAGTTCAAAGGGAGTATACGGTATATAAAGTGAAGACCAAAGATTAACTGTATAAAGCAAGATAAGAATAATGTGTAAAATAATTCTAACAAATTACTGTAGTCAGGGAGACACCAAAGACGAAGCATAAGCCTTGAATCATGAACTAAATGTACAGGAAAAGATTAAATACGTAGATAAGAAATATTCTGAGCAAGTTCAGTGTACATGTGGGCGAGGGAAAATGACAAATTGTATGACCAAAACAGCTATCAAGAATTTTCAATAAAAGATGGATCTACAGCACTGAGAAAACTATTGGCCAATCCACAAAACTATCTTGTATACTTCATTCCATTCTCTCTCTCTGGCTTCACTTTGCCCCTCACTACACTAAACTACTGTACACTACTACAAAATGTGGTCGCAATGAACAAATTAGTTACCATACTGTACTTAATATTTGCACCATTAATCACCAAAGTCCAAGATAATATTTACAATTCCATGAGGATGAGTGTGCTAATTTTTTGTTAGTAGGATGCTTTCAAACTTCATGGCATAATGTGTGGAGCTACTAAGGAAATGCCACTGTACCATCCACCTGACTATGAAGGTAATAGAACCTCTCAGGGCAACAGGCACTCATTTATAATTAAGTTTTGGGTCAGAAGAATGAAATTTTAATAATTGTGATTTTCAATACCATGCTGCAATCAGTGTGAAGTCAGTGGTTTATCATTAAAGCAAGGCAAGAGCTTGTAACAGCTGGATGGGCTCTCCATGACCTTAGAAGGGGACATTGTGGAGAGTGATCCATGACACTCTCACTATCTTTCTGCCTGTGCTCAGGGAAGAAATGTGTGGGAGGTAAGTGCTCTGCATAATAAAATCAAAGTACAGTAGTAAAAGTAAAACAATATCTTATTCATCACTAAAATTATTTAAAATCTAAATATATATATTTATATATATCACTTAGGCCTGAGAATATCTTGCACAAAAGATTAAATTAAGCACAAAAACAATATTCAAATAAATGTATTTTTTTTAGTACAGTACTTCAAAGCCTGAAAAACTATTTTTACATCTAAATAAATTGAGGTTATGAAGTGACTAAAAACTGCAGAGGACTGAGGACACATTATTATCACAGAAAAGCTGCATAAAAGATGAACCCAACTTGTCCCATGAAGAAGTCATGTCAGGGGTTAAGTTGGCACAATTCTGTTTTTGGAGACTATTTATGTTCATGAGGTATTGATGTTGTGTCTATGGTGCCAAAAAACACTAATACAGTATCAAGGTAACTGGCAGTCTTTCAGATGACCCTCCTAAACAAAGATCACCTGGGTTGAGAATATGTATACTGTATAACACAACCCAGGGGATTTTTTGTACATTAATTATAGATAAACTTAAAAATTCATAGTTGTCATGGCATTAGGAGATTTTCTATTTTACTGACATATTATAATGTTAACATCTCCTGTACATGTTGGCTCCAAAAACAATACTGTGACATAGTAGCCCTTGAAATGTCCATATCATTATATTTTCACAACCTTTGTCAAAGAAAGACCTTCTGATATACTTCACAGCAATATTAAGTTGTCACAAGAGTTCGATCATTTACAAGTTAATATTAGGTTTTTCATGTACAGTAATACCCCGCTTTATGCGTTTCAGTTTTACGAGTTTCTACATTTACGCGGTACCCCGCCAGAACCGGAATTCCCACTTTACGCGGTGCATCTACTCATATACGCGGGAAGCGGCACGGGCAGGGTGCGCACAAGGTCGCCCAGTCATCAAAACATTACCGAGTTCTTCACCCGCCACCCACCACAGCCGGCCCAAGTCAGTGATAGTGATAGTGAGGATATGGACTTATATGGACTTTGAGGGGTTTGACAAAGAGGCCCTGCAAGCCTCTGTGGTGGATAGTGATACAATTGATACAGGTGAGGGCCAATAAGCTGCCCTCTGCCTCGGAACCAACCCTCCATCCCCGTGTGCCCAGCCATCTTTTCTACTAATGTAAGTGTTAAAAAACCTAATATTATTATTTCTTTTAATTATTAATTGTGTGTGCATACCATCATAAAATTAAGATGTTATTTTTACTACAACGTAGATATTGTGTCTGAAAAAGTGGAGTTTGGGGGTCAGCCCAGTCTCTATTTCAATTGATCTCATATGTTCTGTTGTTCACTTTACGCGTTTCCCGCTTTATGCGGGCCTCCGTGGGTTCAATTGACCGCGTAAAGCGGGGTTACACTGTAATGGCAAAATTTTTATCCTTTCCTTCAACTAACAATAAAATTTAATTCATAGCACGAATGCTTAATGCTCTACAAGTTTCTGTATCTGAAATAATGTAAATAAAATGTATGTTCCCTAAACATAAGTACAGTATAGTGTACATACATCATAACCTTTTTTTCCTGAATAGTCTTTACTTTTTCCTCTTGTCACATAAACCCGATGTTATCTACCATAGAATACACTGGAACATAAGAGAAAATATAAATATAATAATTGTACAGTAAACAGTATGCTTGAATATACAGATCAAACTTTCCTTGCTCAAAAATTACAAAAAGTAAGTCAACCATCATGTACACTGATATCAGGCCCATTAAAAAAAAAAGTTCCATTTATATGTATACACCCATCTATAATTACTCAAAGTGAACTACTGTACTGTATATGCAACATATTATAGAAATATTAAGAAATTACCAGAATTATCAAGAACTTCAAGAAGAGTGGCTACTGCAAGCAGCTCTTATTCTTTTCATAAAAATTTGGATGTACTGTACTGTATATTTCTTCTTACTACACCAGCAATACCAGATCATACTGTAGTGCTCCCTTAAACTTGTGTGACTTGTTGGTAACATAAGACACAAGCCCTTGTTATATGACTTATACATTTACTGAAAACTTTTACCCATTTTTCTCTGTGGATAATACAAGCAAAATCTTTTGAGGGGTCATTTTAGAGGTCAAGGGTAGTGTGTGCACATGCATCCACACACACACATATGCACATGCATGCACACACACACATATACCGTATATACAGTACCACCTATGAACCTCGAGTGTAACACCATAAGCATTTGAAGGAGAACTCAAAACTTTCAACAATCTCAGCAACAATATCCTTGAGCACCTGTTAAACTTTAGTGGTTATCCATGAGCATCATATATAAAGGTGAATATGAAGTACTGTAATTGTAATCTCTTTTGGTTGACTAGACCTTCCAAAACCAACTACTTATACATAACTAATAATTGCTAATGTAATTTTGGATGATTATGAGTACTGTATAAGGTAATACTAAAGATAAAATATAAAAAATAAAATGTTCAGAAAATACATGAGAAAACATGACTTGACAAGACAGGATTACACACAGAGGAAGACTCTTCGACAGTCTGATCAAATTCCTTGGAGAAAACCTAAAAAAAATATAAAAATAAAAAACTTTGTCAAAGAATATTACAAGAGGAATACATAAAGGTCACATCACTAATAAGTCATCACCAGCTGAGAGAGATAACACGTGTCATACTGTACACAACACAACAATAACAATATCCTATAAGTAATGAATCTCCTAATATTATCTTGAAATTATAAAATATATTTATATAAAGTGCAGATATGATCGTTACCAAGTGTAACTTGACTGTGCAGATCTGAGACCCTTCTCGTTTGTGAGGTCAACAAAGGTGCTTTGCATTTCAGGTCATATTATAAAGAGTAACAACTCACACGACCAACAACTATAAATCTACCTAACACAAGCCATATTGCAACTGTTTGAAAAGTACAAGTGAACTTCACACCCTAATGTTCAAGGTAGGTTTAATGTATTCACTTGCAGATAATTTGGATCCAAATAAATGTATATTCATAAAATGATGATTCTAAATAAATAATAAGTACATAAGTAGTAAAAATGAAACCTCTTTCCTCGTAGAAACAATAATGATACTTCCTCACTATCATCATTAAATAACCCATGATCACACTGCCTCAATCAAGAGATAGTAGTTTCTTGCAACTACAACAACTGAGGTTTAATTTGAAACATGAGAAGCAAATTGTTATAAAACAGGGCTGCCACATTTAAGAAATGCTAATTCACTAATTCTATGTAGATTAATAAGAAGTAACTGATGACCAGCAGCTCTTCTAAATTTGGTGTGCTGTGTGTTGGCATAGTGATGCTATCATACCATTATCGTGCCATACTGCACCTTTTAACACTGTCAGCTTCTCCATTCTGTAAAGTGCTAATTCAATACATCATCCTAAGCTCCCAGATGCTGGGGTTGCTTTTCCATTACACAAGCCCTATTCTAAAACAAATGGGACTTAATATATGTGCCACTTAACTAGCAGCCCAGGGCACCCCACTTCACACCTTCACAGATAACCCTGCCAATCTGAACACAATTGGTTATCAAGGTTTTTTGTTCTGTCCTCCTGTACATGAAAGTACTTAAAACACAACTCTAGAAGGAGTGTTAAATCCACCTCCACCTGGCCCTACTCCACAGCCACCGGGTGGAGGCGTATCATCATGATCAGAGTCATGAGTGAAGTGGGCTCCACCTGACACCTGGTACCTCCGACGTTGTGCCTCACGATCCTGGTCACTGCGATACTGAAGGTTATCATTCTCGACAGCTTCTCTCAAGTCCAGACGGATGGATTTGAAGTCTTCCATCAGGGGTACATCCGGGGTCAGCCGATCACTTAGCTAAAACATAAAAATAAAAATCTATAAAAAAAAAAATGATTTACAAAATCTAATGCCATCATTCATCACTTACTCTAGTTTCATGGTGGGTTCAGGGATCTAAACTCCCCTTCAAACTAACTACAGGTAGGGGACCATTTATCCAGCGTCCCGGTATCCAGAAAGCTCCAAAAACTGACTCTGTTCTGGAACCAATTATTTGAAATGAGAGCCAAATGTAATTCTCTGGCCAAGAGCAGATACTGCCAACCATTCCCCATCTATGAGCTATATTTTATGTTATGGTTATTTTGCAACTCATAATTTTCGGTATACAGTATACTGTACACAGATAATATGTCATATGAGGGTGCTGCTGCATAGTGATCTAAAAGTATGGCTAACTGACCACCAAATAAGAGTCAGAAATTTATATCTGATTGCTTCAATTATGTAGAAATGAAGGAAAAAATGATGAATCTATGCCTCTGTCACATGCATACCAACAAGAACATGGCAATGACCACAACAAAGTCCCGGACACAAAGGCAAGCAGAAAATGGCCGCTAAGTGCATAGTGACCACGAGAGCTAGCCGTCAAAACAACACTCCCCTCATCTCCCTCGCCACCGTGGTCCCAGGGAAGTTTCTAGAGGGTCAATATATAGTTTTTCTTACTTCTTTTTTATTGTTTTATCATTTAAAAATTTAAACAATTATCTTTGGAAAAGTCGATTTATCTCACTTTACCCCACGTGGGGGATACGACCAGCGGCACCCTAGCCCGAGGGGTAGGGGTTAATAATCATATTTTAACATAACTGTGAGACACAAAAAGAGTGAACTTATTCATATATCAACCTATGGTACATACCTTTTTGTAAAAGAGTTGATATGCGGTGTCACGGCTGAACGTCCGAGTAAGGTTGGTGATGGTGGAGAAGGTGGTGTTGGTGACCCTCTCATCATTGAAGTTGTACCAGCCACCCAGTGCACCATACCTAATAAACACACCAGTATATCAATGTTAGCCATCCAATCCTCTTTTGAAGTACCAGATGCAAAGTGGTCTCCTGCAATACCTGGGGTTTAATGCAAAATAAAGTAATGCAACAAAATCATAAAACAGTGTACAGGTAATTAAATTCTTACATACGATACAGTATTATTATTTTACACAAAAATAAAATATATACTTTTAAAGATATGTGAACATTAACCTTCAAGATAAGTTACATAACTTATTCTCCAAACAAGTATAATCAACACATGAATACTTTAGAAGTACAGTAATGATAAATGGCAGTGGAGGCACATGGCAGTCAAAGTGATTAGGAGGTATGGTGCACTGGCCAGGCACATGCATGGTCCCACCCACAATATAGCTTTTCATATAATGATATTTTCACTATTAGAGGTAGAAACATATTTACCTTCAATAATAAATAACATAATCTATTCTCCAAATAAGTTAATCCAGCTCATAAATACTTTAGTGATAGCTCTAGATGATGGTCAAGAGAGCACAGTGACTAAGTATGAGCACAAGGACTGTGGATAGATGGAAAGGTGAGTGATTGTGCTTCTGCTCCCATGCAGCATGGTGTCCAAGACAGTTAGTGGAAAACTACCCAATTTTTCCTCTGCACACCCACAAATATTGCATGAACATCTATGAAAGTCTTGCATTTCAAAATCAGGGCACAAATTAAGCTTTCTAACATATATGAACTGTACTTATCAAGATGCATATTTGTAGGAGACTGCTTTACCCACATATAGAATGACTAAGGAGTTTGTAAGTACTGTAATGTGAATGTGATCAATAATGGTGTTTGTGCACTGTTATCATATAGAAATTTCACTTTAGATTAGGTAAGGCTACATTTTGTTGTGCCCCCTGGACAATTTTCAAACACAAAACTACCTTTCTGAAATCACTATAGCTGCACTTGCATTAGTCCCTGTTTCTGTACTGTCATTTTAGAGTCATTAATGAAACACTTTTGTTGATATTTTGTTAGTTCAGTAAATGGGTTCCCACTTTTGTTGCAATACACTTTTTGAACCCCTCGTAGCAGACAATACAAACCCTGGACAGGTAAAAAGGGATAGATGTGACACCATGCCAATCCAAAATTTTGCAGTTCTCCAAGCTGCAGGAACAGCATACCCATGACTTCCAGGGTACCTTCAGTGCATGCCAAGATGTCATCAAGTCAGGTGTATTTTAGTTGGCTAAGTCATACTTTCTTTGTAATAGGGTCTGTTGGGGTTATGCCTTTTCATCTGTGGTGAGGTCCATCCTTCTATTATATGCTGTGAAATTGGAGACCTACTTGTACAAACTGCTTTTCTGATAGGCAAATGTTAGTTATGAGGAACATTTCTTCAATATTTCTACATTTCCATTTTATGTGGGTATAAGAACTGAATATCTTCAGATACTTATTATTTTCCTCATAATAGATTGTGTCAAGTGAATAAATGATGTTTTTGTTTAATGTATCTATTTAAATTTCTAATAAGTAATATTACAGTACTTATTTATGGACACAGTATCATATCATGCTCCTGTGAAAACTTTAAGCATGTGAGTAAGAGTAAAACACCACAACATACTGAGAAACACATACAGGCAAGTCAGTGTAAGGGAGACTGATATATAAAAACACTGGAAGAGACTAAAACATGTGAAGAATGTAATGCAAGATGTAGTGTGGGTTTAGTAGTGTCAACTCTAACATGTGTTGCTAGAACCTGCATCTGTAACATTAATGAAACCAGCAGGTGTAACAAGCTATGGTAAATTTCTGACAAAATAGCCACTCAAGTTACTAGAATTAGCAGAGTGAAGACAACAGAAATGTGAGGTATATTCATGTGGTAATAAAGGAAAATGGCAGTATAGTGAGGTTAGTTAAATTAGGCCAAGTTGGGTTGGGTTCAGCTATGGTTAGTTAGACTGCATTGAATTAAGCTGGATTAGGTTAGGTTAGACTGGATTGGACTGGAATAAGTTGGGTTACATTACTTTAGGTTAGGTTAGTTTGGGTAGGATTACATAAGTTTATGATAGCTTAGGTTAGTTTATGCTAGGTTAAGTTGGGTTATGTTATGTAAGTATGGGTTAGGGTAGGCTGGCTTAAGTTTGTTTAAGTTAGGATAGTATATGTTAGGGTAGGTTAGGTTAGTTTGAGTTTGGTTAGGTTGGGTGAGGTTAGCTTGAGTTAGGGTAGGCTGGGTTTGGGTAGGTTGGGTGAGGTTAGTTTGAGTTAGGGTAGGCTGGGTTTGGGTAGGCTGGGTGAGGTTAGTTTGAGTTAGGGTAGGCTGGGTTTGGAAAGTTGGGTTGGGTTATATTTATCTGTTGATGGATTAATTAAGAAGCACATCTGAGCAAGATAAAGAGGAGCATAAGTCCAGTGTAAGGTAAATCAATTGCGAGGTGCAAAATACAATTTGAAAGATGACTGTGCAGTACCCATGATAGAATAGGTTTTACAAAGGTGACATCTCCTTCTATTGGGAAAAACAGTGACCATGCAATCAGATGGAAGACTCAATATTTCTTTTTATCATGCAGTTTTGCATTGAAACATACCTAGTTACATACAGAATATACACAAAAAAGACACACCTTTCTCGAGCTGACTCGGGCAAAGAAGCAATGGAGGAGTTACGAGCATAGCAGTAGTAGTGTCCTCCTTCTGACGAGAAGCCTGAGTGCACCACCACCCCGTAGAGCGCATAGCGTGCATATGTCACCTCTTGCTCTTCTTCACATTCATCTTTGGGAGTCATGCAATCTGATGATCCTGAGCTAGCTGGATATTGCATAGGAACTTCTTTTTGTAGGTCTGATGTGGAAGTATAATAACTACAACTTGGCTGAGGACTTTGCTGACCAGATTCTTGGTCTTCACACGGTAAACTGCCATCACCAGACAATTGTGAATCGTCTACCACAGTGTCAATGAAATGGGTCCTTGAAGTGTCATTACAAGTGTAGCTACAACTAGCCACTGAACTAAAATCTGTAGTGTAGGTTGGCTGTGAACTACTGTATGAGCTGCTTCCCTTGTGAGAGCTGTCTTTAGACCAAGAACTATACCATGTATTAGAGTCATGCAGACTACTGCTGGTAGCCTGTGGAATGCTGGAGGCAGCTTGTGAACTGGTGCTGATATTATGACAACTGCTACCGCCAGCAGCTGAAATGTTACTACGTTCCTCCGAAATGCTAAAATTTTCCTGAGAGGTGTTGTTTGTAGTTTGCCTATTACTACAGCCTGCCTGTGAACTGTTACTTGTAGCTTGTAAACTGCTGCTGTTATCATGTGAACTGCTACAGCTTGCTTGGGAACTGCTGCTGCTGACTTGCATATTACTGCAGCTGGACTGTGCATTTTCACTACTGCATTTCATCTGTGAACTGCTGCAGGTTACTTGAGAACTACTGCTGCAGGTTACTTGAGAACTACTGCAGCTGACCTGTGAGCTGCTGCATCCTGCCTCTGAACTGACACACCTGATATGAACATCACTTTCATTATGTGCACTACAGGATGCCTCTTCACCTTTCTCACTGTGTGTACTCAAACTAGCCCGGGAACGAATCCCATAGATGGCATTTTTACAACAGTGTGAGCTGTGATCATCAGAGGTGCTACAACCAGCTCCAACATTAATGTCACTTGGTGGGTTACAATTTGATTGTGGACTATGTTTACTTGTCTTTGAAAATTCTGCAGGAGGCCTCCTGCTTTCATCACCACTAGTAGACACCTCAGTTACACCTACTGCACCTCCTTCCTCAGACCCAATGGTGAAGTTATCATCTAAAAAGCCCTGTGTTGAGTACCTTATGGGCAGCAAAAGCTCCTCTCCAAAATCTACATTGGTGAATACTTTTTGCCGTTGGCCTCTGGCAGTGTCATAATAAAACCTGAGTTGAGTAAGAATAAGGTGTTCTGGGGGCTCCAGTATCTGAATGGACCGCTCAGCATCCTGTTTCCCCCCACACCTCTCACATTCGTACTGATTCTCTCCAGTCAACCTCTCAGAGGTCAGGTAGCTGGTGATCAAGTCTTCTATGCTAAGATCAGCTGCATTCTCTTGATGCTTTTGTTTACATAGACGATCTGGATTTCGTCTGATAATATTAGCAGCATTATAACGGTCAGAGTCTTGGAACGCTAAGTGTATATCAGTAAAGACATCTTTGTGTATGGACTCAGTTTTACACTGTAGGCACTTGATACAAGTTGCTAACTTTCCTCCAAATACTTTATGAACTAAACTAACAAAATATTCATTTTCAGAGTCCTCGTTATTAGAAGTTTCTGTCACTACTTCCTCAATTGTCAAACCTCTGTTGCTTGTGATTATTTCTTTTGGGCTGGGGCTACTTGGGTTAGGACTGCTGATGTGCAGTTCAATGTCCTCTGCCAGGTCACCACTGATACCACTATCTGAGCTGTTGTCTATGTCTGATGTTACATCCCCTTTGGGAGATTTTAACATTTGCCTGTGTACTCCATCTGGTGTCATGTTATGTTTCCGTTTACAGTTGCTTGTCTTGGCAACATTTTCTGGGATAAGCTCCATTTCTACCACATCTGATCCACCTTCAATGCCGTGAGCTGTTGCAACAATTGCAGTATTTTTATTTTCTGATGAATTTTCTAAATTCAAGTCACACGTTTCCCTAACACACTTTAGTGGCTCATTAGTTTCATCTGTCATGTCTACATCTGTACACTCTGGCAACACTTTCCTTTTGCTAGTCTGAGTACTGAGAGCCTTGATCTCAATCTGATCAATTCCTTCCATTGGTTCTCCTTCCAAATATTCTTTAAACTGTCTCACATGAATGGCAACATCAAATTTCTTATTGTCTACATTCTGAGTATCTTTCAATGGATCCACCTGCCTACCTGAGTCTCCAAACACAAAGTTATTTCCCACATTAAATTCTTCTCTTGGCAGGTTCCCAGGATTAATGAAAACACCTCGAGTTTCCCCACATGCCTCAAGTTTGAGCGTCTGCTCGGTGTCAACAAAATCTTCAGTTGCAGAGTCATACGGTAGAGGCTGGAGGTCCGAGGCCAAGCTAGCAGTCTCACTCTCGATGATCACTCTCTCCCGGTATTCAGGCAGGGTCTGGCCTGCTCGCTCCTCTTCGTGTAGGGTTATCATTAAGTGTCTGGAAATAAAATTATATTAACAATCCATCTCTTATGGGAGAATAATATACTGTACCTTCACCATTAAGTTGTAAAGTTTACAAATGTCAGCTGTAAATGACCTGTATTTTCCATAAAAAAATCCCAAAATGTTGAAATAACTATGTAAAACAAAAACTCAGTTCACACACAGAAACCAGAATTTAACAAATAACAAGGATGAATATTACTAAATAGAGCAATTAGTATTTACTTTACCATACAATAACCCCATTTGCTGGTGTAAAGAAAGTTGTACTTAAGAGTTCTGGGTAATCTAAAGCATTATATTCAGTTCATTACCTTTTCCGTTCCAGAAGTGTCCAATTGCCAGAAAAAATCTGAGAAATCAGGATGTGAAGATACACAACCCCACAGGAACCTTGAAGGTCTAAGGTGACTGAGTGCAGCCTGAGAGGATTGCCTTTATATTATCAGACACACATTCCATTCTCACTCCTTTTTACAAACCTGAGATATTCTGAGCAGTCTTGCTGCATGCCTGGACTGAACCATGGTGGCCGTGACTTGTCGTGAAACTGACGAGGGGGCACATACGTGCGATGGGTAAAGCACAGCAAACTGAATAGTTGCTGCAGCTGCACCAGAAGTTGTTGGTTGCTGCGTGGTACAGCGTGCAGGATCCCATGCCGGAAGCTGTTGGTAACTGAATTTTAGAAAGATATAGTATAGCTCTGTAAGTTAAAAATATATTATATAAAGTACTGTATGCATATTCACCTATTTAACTGGTGATATACAGTATCTTACAATAACAATTGTCTATTACATATTATATTTATCTCTAAAGCTACCATATATTGTCAGATCATAATTCTATCTCTATGCAACACACTTCAGTTCAACATAGGTTGGCAAAAACTTTTCCTATACGACTGAGGATGATACAAATATAATACTGTATTCATATACCTATTGGGATCCATCACACATGTATTTCAATTCAAAATCGACTCCTAAACACACAACCCTTAAAATCAAACTACTACCTCTTAATTATTTTTGTTCTACGGTAGAATTTCCTATACAGGTATCACTTGAGATACAAATGATCAAGATACAAAAAAAAATTTTATACGAATTTCCTGAATTGACACCACTTACTTCGTGATACGAATTTGGGTATGGGTAAAATTTCAAATCGTGCACCCCCAGGAGCCAGCTGGGGCGCTCACATCCCCTAGCACTCTCCCTACCAGGCTGAGGTAGGAGTTATGTTATGGTTAATTCTCAACTCATAATTTCAGGTGTACAATATAAACATAATTTTCTTCACACATTTTTTTCATTCAGTTACATGCACACAAACCATCTGACATACAGAATGTGTGGTCATAAGAATTTGTATTCCCTTTATGTTTTAAAGAGAATAAAAATTATTATGACCACGGGAATCATGGGAGGAGAAGGGGGAACGGGAGGGGGGTGCAGTGTCGGTATCTCAGCCTCCAACCAAAGCTGAGTTGCCTTATTGTTATTTTTAACTCGTATTTTCGGGGGTGATAAACATAATTTTCTTCTTTTTTTCTGTTACATGCACACACAATCTTCATGCAGAATGTGCAAAAAATAAAAAATAAAATACTCATCATAATAATCATCATCGTCAAAAACCTTAAGGGATCACACAATTATTATGTTTGTGGGAGTAATCACAAGAAAGAGAGAGGGAGGGAGCAGTTTCCATTATGGCTCATGCTAGTGATAAAACTGCCAAATGACAACACAACATTTTTTCTTTTCTTTTATTAATTATTATTTTTATTTATTCCTCATATTTACTAGTACTGTACAGTATACCGTACGGTATATCATTTTATGTAGAAAGAATGTGTTTTTCTAAATGCAAACCATCCTCTGGGCGATGTGACAGTTCAACTGCTTAGCCTGGCAATCACCGAAGACGGGCAGAACCTTCCACACATCCAGTGAGTTAAACAGTACAGCCACTCCTCGACTTACGACGGGGTTAGGGACCCAAATCCATGTCGTAAGTCGAAAATGCAAAAATAATACATAAAAAATCTAAAATGGGTGTCTCTTTTTCTTCTCAGCACCACAAAACTCTCACTTTTAAGCTTGCCAGTCATTTTAAAGGGAATTACAAACGAAAATTTTCATCAGTACACAGCACAATCACTAACGTCAGGACTCGAAAATACGTAATTAGAAAAAAATTTGATACGACTGGGGAGGTTGTATGTCAGGGTGGTCGTAAGTCGAGGAGTAGCTGTATTTTATCTATTTTTTCTTGTGGTAGGTAGTAAATTAGAGTAGTTGTGTAATATTTATCATTAGTTAGGTAGACATTGTTCTTGTTTGTAAACCAATTTCGTGTTTTGGGGTATGATACGTATCTGGGTATTTTTGTCTTTGGGGAATTGATCCCTATTTTTTTTTATTTGATAAGAAAATTCACTTACTGATTTCTTCTTCTTTTTTAACCTAACCTATTTGTATCTTGAGGGATACCTGTATTTACAACAAGTGATCAGTAACACTTAAATTACAATGGTTGTGCACCATCATTAAATTCCCAGCTGAAACCGGGAAAAGTTTTCACCACTGCAAAATTTTTACACTTCTCAATAATTGACTACACTGTAAAATGTAACTGAATAAGACATAGAATGATGACAGACACATAATACAAAATATATTTATAATCATCAATGTTTCTTTTATCACAAAATTTATAATAACACTGATTAATGCAAGTATTTTTGTTTTAATTTTGAGTAGCCAGGTAATATGCCTAACAAGGACAAAAATCAACACCAACCTATCTGTCATGAAAAGAGCCTGTATGACCGAATTCATGTAACAAGTATTTCCAAGATTACGAAGACCAACTCTCTGGCCAGCAGGTCTTTGTTGATATACTGTGGGTGTCTCAGCAGCTACTCCAATCCCAAACTGATTTGGCCCTATCCCTCGAGCCCCTCCCTCCATGGTACCCCATTGGTGTTCCTGGATCAAACCCTGTATGTCTTCTTCGGACGGAGATTGGTATTTCTGAAAGAAGAAGGCAAGAGGGCAACATGTACTGAATTCCATTCCTCTATAACCACTCAGTGAAGGAATTAAAGGAACTAAGAGATTAAATTTCAACAATGGATCTACTCAGAGTGGTGTGTCACGTATTTAAAATCAAACATACAGTATATACTGTACAGTATGTCATAAAAGAAACATGCCGAGTCAAAGGACTTTATTTCATGATTTTTTGTAATTTTTGAAGAAAAAACAGAAATACAGTACTATGGAAAGCCAGGAAAAAATAATAGAAAAGATTTTTCAAAAATTAAGCGAATATAAATTGTAAAACATTATGGTGTTGAATGGATTGTAACCAAAACACAGAAGCACAGAAGGTGGAAGAGGTGCAGAGTTCAACACAAAGAAGATTGGCTTATTTATCCGCTTGTGTATGGGGGTCTCTCTGTGTTGAATATAATCATCTGGCATTACCAAAAAAAAATTAAAAGTGGTATCCCCATAGTGAGGAGGTTAACGGAATAAAAGTACTGTAATAATGTATGCATATTAACATACCAGAAGAATGTCCATCAGTGACTGATATGTATCTGGATGGCCAGGATGCAGAGCAATAAGGGTGTGGCACAAGGTGGCCAAACGGTTCAGTGTTGCAGTAGCAGATGCTGATCCCTCTCTCTCAAGCCGACCAAACACCTCAATTACAGACGGAATGCTCTGAGGAATGGGATTGCTTTGCATCATGTTTGAAGCCAATTATACATGGGAGAACAAGATTAATTAATTTCTTTGTCGTACGGTAGTAACATTATGCTGTACTGTATATGTTAGTTCAGATTGGCAATACAATGTTAATAATAACACTCATACCTCACTTAGCACTGTGGATGCCTTGCTGGAGAAGTAAGTGCTAATCACATGTGCTTTAAAAGGGGTCACTGTACCATTGTATGTTCCGACAGCATCATTACTTATGAGTGATATATGAGGGCTTCATTGGGGGTATCATTAATAGTAATACAGTATATTGTGATATTATAGAGTAATAATATAGATGGTAAACATATCATACATTTAATAAATAAAATTGCTCAAAATAACTTAAACAAGTACTAACAAATACTGATACTCATGGATAACATAGCAAAGAGTAATGCATGACCCACATCCACCTGATGCTCACCTGCCTTGACCTGCCTCATCGCTTGCATCCAAAGTGAGGCTCTTCCTTGACACTTTTAACACATTTCCAGCACTAACACTTGCAAACCTTTAATCAATATTATGGGTCTAAAACATTGACAAAAACAAATAAATAACAGTTAAAAAGAGAGAGAGAGATCAAAGCAGAGTAAACACACGGCAGCAGGCAGCATTAATACTGAAGGTGAGCGATGATTGGCTCTTGTTGTACCTTGTTATCAGAGGCAGTGGTGTGTTTCCTTACCAACCACTGCTTGTTCTCACATGTAACTTTTGAAACAGCTTTTTGAACACGTTTTTTCAGTAAAAATTTTCTCTGGATAATTAGCTCTATAATGAATCAGAGTTCTAAGAGTTAGCACGAATTGTGGTATGAATACAGTGTACTGTAACTAGAATCATCAAATAGAAATAAAGAAACCTCATATTGGTTTCAGTTGCATTTCTACAAAGATAGTTTAACTTGCCAATTGATTTTGCAAAGATAAACACTACACTACAGTATTAAACTCCTAAATCTACGGATTTTCTGGCTAAACTTTAATAATTGTCCATATGTTCAAATATTTTTGATATCGTAGAATCATGATCAATCTGATACTCTAAATGTGTTATTGTAATAGTTTTAGGTTAATTCTTTGCCCAGTAACCTGACTAAACAGATATTTTTCTGGCTGATTACATGTTTACATATCCTTCAATATGACTGACTGTAAAGTCCACAATAACTAACCAAGGTTCGCATTCCATTATAAATCATATTAAATTCTCCATATTGATCCATTTATTCACAGTATCATAACAAATAACGACAAAATTAAGAAGAAAAAAATAACTCAAGTTTACAAAACATGTCACCAAAAATTTGTATTTTCTCTTATTCGCTTGAAGGACTTACCTTATGAAAGGCTATTGGCGAGTGTTGAAATGACAAGAGGAGTGTTGATATCACGGACAAAACTCCAGTGCGGACCACAGGGATGTGCAGGTTATTCAACAACTGAAAATACATACAGTATCTCAATTAAATAAAATGACAGTTAACTATATCTTTCATTGCAAATTCTACTATATACGGTAGGCCCTTCAAATTCGTGGGGTTAGGTTCTCAAAATGGCCACGAATCGCCAAATCTGCGAATAACATTTGCTGACCGGGGGGTACATTTTACTTGTGTTCAAAGTAATGTGTATCCCCTTTATGTGTTTGCCCTTTGGACAATTATTTATTTTACCTGTATTGTATATATACCTGTATGTGTGTGCGTAGACACACACACAAAACACGTACAATAAATAATAATGGGAATATCCTCTCACAAATAATAAAAAAAAATTTTATCAAAAATGTTGAGTTTACCCTCAAATCTACTCCATGCTTTATTAATAACAAAGCTTGTTGTGGTTAGGTTAGGTGACATTTTAAGACACTGGAATTTTGTTGTCATAAGAACATATCTCCACTTTTATAATGGGGTCTATGGAAAAATGTATACTGTACTATATTGTACATAGATTTAATTTTTATTTTATTTTTTTTAAGGAACAAGTCTTTTTTTGCATATCAGGAAATACCTGTATAAGTTTATTAAGGATACACAATTTACTAATATAGCATTAAAATATTCATAATGTTCATAGTACAGTACAGTAAATACTGATCCCATAATGCAAAGTAAACATAAGCTGGAACTTGCATGGACAACACCCATTCAAGTCATCATCATCAACGTCCACCAGACATATTGTAAGATAAATTAAGGCTTTTTTTCCTCCATATTCCGTTATTCTGCAAGCTCATCTATAATGTTATAAGAAAATTTACTATTTCGGTAAGATTTGAAGAAAAAACAAAACATATTTTGCACATACCTGTACTGTACTGGTAGGCAGGGTACCCAATTTTTCCAAGGCCACAGTACAAGGGTTAATACAGCTGTACCCCGCTTAACGCGGCTTCACTTAACGCGATTTCTCATATACGCAGTGCCTCGCCAGAACCGAACTTTCACTTAACGCGGTTCATCTACTCATATACGCGGTGAAGTATAATATATATTTTTTTTTTATTTAGCTCATAAAATTCATACAAATTACACGGCCAGAATATAATTTACATTGCTGGAATTCTTACAATATGATGATCATTTTGAATATAAACATCATAGATTTTGCATTAGACATACAAATTTTAGATATAATGTTTACTCTGAGTAAATATGTTATCTTTTGTGCAAAATATATGACATTTATATTCAAAATATTCCTGGTCTTACAAGGAATCCAGCAATGACAATTATATTATCCTAACTTTAGTTTGAGGTATTATTTATTAAAATCTAGTGGTTTTCCCCCAAAAATTTCTCAGAGAGGGAAGAGCCAGCAGTGTAGTGTGAGAAGAGGGGGAGGGAGTCGAGTCCATTATTTGAATGGACATTAACTTGGCGACTGAATTTCTCTATTTCTCTAAGTATTAATTGTGTGCATGTACCATCATAAAATTAAGATGTTATTTTTACTAGAACATAGTTGAGTGTCGTCAAAAAGTGGAGTTTGGGGGTCGGGCCAGTCTCTATTGGAATTAATCCCATATGTTCTGTTGTTCACTTAACGCGGTACCCTGTGGGTTCAATTGACCGCGTTAAGCGGGGTACAACTGTATTTATTTACCTTTGATGTCTACCATACCAATTAATCTACCTCTAAATACATATTGTGGCAACTTCCATTAATTTACAATTGTTCTTTAATCTTTTAAGAACAGTGATGGCAAATTGTGATTAATTAAAAAAAAAAACCACGTTTTAATATCATAAACTCTTGATTCCAACAATCAAAGTTCAGGAGTCAGGAGGAATAATGTCAATCCCATGTGGGAGCCTCATGGGTTGTGGAAGCTACCCCACTACCACCAGCATATACCTCATCCTCGTCACTCAAATTCCGCAAAAATTTACTAGATTCACGAGTCAAATCTTGATAAAAGTCATTATCTTCACTTATATTGTCTTACTGGCACTATGCATGGAAGAATCATCCTTGTATCCAGAATCATATACAGTATAAAAATGTATAACGGTGCCAATTTCTTCCTGCGTGGCGAGCCACACAAGACTTGATGCAATGCATCTTGACTTGGCTTGGCCATAGTCCATCCATTACTAACAGGTGAGAAGCCTACACCACCTGAGGACAGATGCCAGAAGCCTCCACAAAGATACTCAACAAATAGAGAGCACAGAAAATTTAAATTGGACCCACAGGAAACATAGCGCAAGCAGCAGGATATGTCCAGAACATATGACCCTCCATTCTGCAACTGTTGTGATGTATGTCCCCAAAGAGTTAAAAACTTAATGAGAACTATGAGGTGGATCAAATAATGAAGTGTCTTACCTTTGGAACTCTATCCAACGTAACACGTGCTGGCACAGCAGTACGTCCACTCTGATACAACAACCTGACCAGGGTGCGAACCCACAGACCCAAAGTTGTATAGGCTGTAGGCCAAGCCACTAGCCACGCAGTAAGGCGTGTCAGAGTTGCAGTCAGAGCAGCATCAGTTGTTGTGGGATCCGACACAATACGAGGTGCAAGGCCCTCGACCACCACAGTGGGAACAAGAGAGAGCAAGTGTGCCATAGCAGGACATACTTCTGATCCTCCATCTGTTGAAAATAAGAGGAATACAGTGGCCAAGTGGTTACAATACTTGCTATCTATCCTATGAGTCAATGGTTCACACCCTGCTGTGAATCATTACTTGACTTGACTTTACTCCACAAAGAGTATGAACAAAAGGAAAGAGTGACCAGTTGACCATTTTGATTAAGTTCAAAACAATGTTTGATATCAAATATTCTTACTATTCTTAAGCAAACAGCAAAATTCTATTAAGTTTTCTTCATTTTTACACAAAAATTCTGTCCATAAAATGTTTTACCAGACAGATGGGTTACAAAACTGTAAATCAATTTTGGAAAATATGGAGATATTCAACTACTCACCTGTGTTGGATATGATGGCATACATGGCATGGAGGGAGTACAAGATGTCCTCAAGTCGCAGGCCATTCCACAGTGTGTTGACAAGACACCCCACACTCTTCATGTGACCCAACACCTAGTATGAATGGAGGTAAAAGGCCCATAATTATAGTATACAGTATTGTAATTTTTAGAATTAAAGACACAGCATGACCTTAAAATTGGCGGATCTCGAATATTCGCAGATGACACCCTGGGTGTACCTAAATATGTCTAAGGGTAGTTTTAAAGTTCTTGGCATTTTTGCAGCCAGGACGGGGAGCTATTTGTTCTAGAGACAGTAATTTACCTATATTGTACAGTATATATGTGTGTGTGTGTGTGTGTGTGTGTGCAGACACACACACAAAACACACTCAAATAAATAATAATGGGAAAATCCTCTCACAAATAATCAGAAACGAGACAACAAAAATGTATGAAAAATGTGAGTCTACCCTCAAGTTAACTCCTTGCTTTGTTATAACTTTAATAACAAAGCAAGGACTTAACTTGAGGGTAGACTCACATCTTTAATACAGTACATTTTTTTTGTCTTGTTCCTTAATTGACTGTATATTATTTAACATCTTTTTATTTACAGTACCGTACTGTATTTACATTACTGTATTTGTTATGTATGGGATATTATTGTTGTTTTGTATAGGTAGGGTTGTAACTAAGAATTAATTTTTTACATTACCTGTATAGTATTTTATATTGTTTAACATCACTTTCATTGCAGTATTTACATTACGTATATGTTATGTATGGAATATTACTGTTTTGTATGGGCGGGGTTGTGCTTTAATCTAACCTAAGCTATGGAATTAACACTGTTCTGAGTTATGAACAGGGTCCAGGAATGTAACCTGTCGGTAGCTCGGGGACTGCCTCTACTTGGGAGACAACTTATTTCCCTTATAATTTGATGTTCTCTTCCACATTACAGAACCACTAACCTTTTATTTTATTATTTATTTCATTTATTACTACTGTACCAATCTGAAGAAATGCTACAGTATTTTATTTTAAATATCAATTGCAAAAAGTCTTGTAACTGTAATTTCACATACCTCTGTTTTTGTTGGTGTTGGGAATGAGGCAACACAGTTCATGAGAGTGACAGTGAAGGTGAGGCGAGTGTGTGGTTGAGGCAGGATTGCAGGACACACTGCATAAAGTTCTGCAAGCTTGGCAACAAATGCAGAACTGCCTCCACTCTCCCGCAACTTGTTTTGTAAAACTCCCTCCAAGACCTACACAAAATTTATCATTGTACACCAATACTGTAGCTTTGGGAATTGAAACTTGTTCCTTGTAACACACCAATTAGCAATAATACCTAAAACAAAACCTAACTAGTCATATCATGGACATCCACAACAATAAAAAAAAGTGAAACCCTATTTCAAGGTAAACTATTATCATCTGTATTAAGGTTAAACATCTTTCAAAATAAAAAGAAAAATAGAACACTCTAAAAAATGCTTCATTTTTAAGTGATAATTAGAAATACTGTAGAGTACAGTACAGTATAGTAAAAAAAATCTGAACCATATAATACCCCAAAATTAATAGATGACATGTCTATTCAACTCTATCTTATCTAATGAATTATCTTTACTCTTTCTTTTTTGTGTAAAATAGATTATGAGATACAGTATACTGAAACTACAAGGGCAGAGGGAAAATGTTTGTGTTTGGTGATGCAAAACAATTACTTACTGTATAGCAAGTGACAGAAAAGGGCTACAACTATAAACATAAATACTCGTCACACACTTCATCATATCCTTAGCTAAGAACAAGAGTTTCTTTACTTACTGGAGCCAATGTGCCCATGGTATCTGCATCTTCTGTCAAATGACACAGAGCTTCCTTCAGCCATACCAGGACCAAAGTGGCATTAGTTTGACTGGCAAGGATACTGGTCACTCGTTCAGGTGTAATGTACTCCTTCAGGTGGATCTTGTACTGTCCTGCCCAGTTTGTGAAGGCAAACACTGCCAGCTGAGCAGTCACCTCATTTTCTGATGATGTTAGGATGCTCACACAAGTGTCAAAAATGGAGGTTATATCTGCTTTCTCCAAAGTTCGGGTGCTCTTCAAATTGGGTGTATGGACCAATTTGACCAGCAGTGTCCTTTTGACATTTTCTGGCTGGTTTGGCATGTGAATAATGCTGTACACAATCTTGTCCATGTTGGCTGAAAAAGTTAAAAAAAAAAAAAATAATATTTTCCCTTACCATTAAACAAAATCCAAATACACATACAGGATGTTCCTAAGTTACAAATGGGTCATATCCTTGGACCCTGTTTGTAAGTTGATTTGTTCAAAACTCAGAGCCATATAATTTCAAAATCAATTATGAATCAAAGTTATTATTAGCCATAAATAATGTAAATAGTAATTGTAAATACTGCACAGAAATAAATGCTTTAATTACCTGAAGATTAACAACAATACCTGGGACGGAAGGGTTAGAATAGTACGGGTGCTCGTAACTCAGACATTATAATTAAACATAATTAAAATATTTTCCCTAATTACCTTAGATACATTTCCTGACATTTCATAATAGTATAGTACAGTAGTGTACTTTACCATTTACAACCAATATACAGTACAGTACTTTCAATATAAAGTAATACAAATTTTTAAAATTAAATTATTAAACTATCAATTAATGCAATTAGGCACTTTGAGAACATAAAATTATTACCCGTCCATTTTAGCCTTGGTCTAGCGATGGGCTTCAGTGGAATCATAAGTCAGCGACGACCACAAGAACCTAACACAAAGAGCACCCCAGGAGTGACCCCTTCACCCCACCACCAAGCAAGAGACTGAGGTTTAGATACAACAACAGAGACACCTCATCCAAGCCAGAATGTGGACCCATACCGTGGAGGCCACTGTCAGACAAAGTCCTGGCAGCACTCCAACCTCTCCCTGTTACTACATAAAAAAAATTAATGGCAAGGAACTGTCACTGACGTCCAAGTTGTTCTAAATACTGTTGCATTGGTATACAGCAACAGTGTACAGCATTACACAACATGCCGAGTTCTCATTATCAAATACCTTAACATTTCTAAGTTAAGGATATGTAATATCTACTCATTTATTATTCCCCCTAATAAGTCTCACCAAGCTTGTCATATGTTTCAAACTAAACAACATAATTTGTACCACAATGAGATTGGGATTAATTTATTCAGCATTAAAAATAACTCAAATAATGAGACCAGAAATCAAGGACTCATTACCCAGGCTGAAATACTGTAGAGTATAGTGACATTGTTAACCAGTGCAGTATGTTTAAACACCTTGACACTAACCCATGTTATTTTTCACATTACCAAACTAAATGTTACCTGATGGAAAGTCCTCATTCATTACATAAGTTCTAAAAGATATAACTTAACCTTAAGTAGTTAATATATGTACTGTACTGTTCTATACAATAAGCTGTAAATATTCTGCTATGAGAGGCCAGGTGTCCCTAAAAGATAATAAGGATGCATCAAAGCTCACCTCAGTTTTGAAATCATTGATTCAAGAACTAAAAGGAAATGTTTTGTTATGTTCACCATCAGTAAAAATCTACTTTCATTTTTAAATAAAACCCATTTTTAATGTTCTTTATTAAAGTTAAACATTCTTTAATGCACATAATTATTTATTAATAACAATAACTACTGTACTATATAAACTATGCACAAAACACAAAAAAATGAAGCTGATTCACTAAACATATGGTGGCAGTAAAATCTGTTGAGACTAAGACAATCAGAGTGCTCAATGTTATATAGTACCTGTACAGTATCAATCAGTGAGTGGAATTTATTAACAGGTGTTTGCTAACTTAAATGAGGCTCTTAATTAATTTACAAGAAAAGGGATAAATTAAAACCTCACTAACTGATGAAGTGCAACTGAACATACGTAGTGTATATCATAATCAATAATATTTTTATTCCTTTGACAGCTCCAGTACAATACAGTACAGTATTTGTGACAGCAAGTGTTGAGATGAAGAAAAATCTTGGGCTCACTCTAGATGATTTTTTCATCTCACTTATTTACAATATTTGGGTTTTGAGGACACACTGACTGTTATACTGTACAGTAGAGTACAGTACAGTACAGTACTTTGCCTCCAACTTTTCAAAGATATACAGTATAATGACAAGGAAATGTACAGTACAGTACTGGATATTATCTCCAGACAAATAATATAAACTTTCCGAGTGTAAAAATAGAGATTTGATCCTAAAATCTGTTATCCTGGTGGAGCCCAGAGCCAAGTGACTCTCATAATAAGGGCTGTCTGTTGGGTGGGTTGTTAATCTTATGATCACCCTGTTTCATCTATTACAGATATGGCAGACCCTGATTTACGAGAATTGGATTTAGAAAAATTTGCAGTTAAAAAAAAATCCCATGCTTTCATTTACAACAAAAACCCTGAAGTTAAAACCTAAATAATTCCAAAACAATATTTTTTTTTACGACTAGTACATATAATTATTCAATGTTGGTTTTTCCATCATAAATCAGTGGAACAAACGTATGAAGAAATACAACAACAGTACCATACAGGTAAGAGTTGAGTTTCCTCTACTGTAAATGGAAGTTCTGTCATTTTCCTTAAGTGCCTGTCTGTACGGCACTTTTCACGTTACCTTTTGCGGCATTTCATACCTAATTAGCACAGACTTTTCTCTCACAGCTTTGTAAATGATTTATTGTAGATAAGGTAAACCAACCAAGCCTACCTGTACCCAACCTGGCCTAATTCTTAAGATTGGAAGTTTTCATTTTGTTATCTATTTTTACATTACTTTAGGCAGGTTGGTTAGGGTCAGTTTACTTTGTCAACAGAAGGAGGAAGGTGAACATGGTAATCTAAGCAGCATGCACCATACTGGCTCTTTAACAAAAACATAAAAAAAACAAAAGTAAAAATCTGCAATTCTTCTGTTCATTTAATCACGAGTCAAGAAACAAGTACAATACTGTTTATACTGTATATAAAATTTCCCTGAAATGGCTCCTTCCCATTACCTTCAGATCTTTAGTGACACTTATATATAAGTAAACTGTATGTCAAATGGGTGGTGTATCATTCACTTGTTATATACAGTATAGAATCTAAGTAATTTTCACTGAAAATGACAAATCCCTCGGAAGAAAAAACTTACTTTTGGTACAGTGAATACAACTTAAATCTTATATACAATATTAGGAAGAGAATTTATTTTTAAACATTTTCATTAAGGAAACACGCAACTTCTTAACAAATATCAGACTCCGCACTTTGTTGGATAAAGATTCGTTTAATGCCATAACAAGAAATTGATTGCTAAATAGGTTTTCCTTGTATATTTTTTCTTGTTATAAATGAATACCATCACAGTATTTCCATGGAAAATGCATATACAGTACATGGAAATATTACTCCTTTAACACTAGCATTGACAATGAATCTCCCAAAATGGGCAGGGCTTTGAATGTGAGGGAAAATGTGGGTTTAAAAAAAAACACACACACACACACACCTTTGTAAACCCTACCTAATCTTTGAACCAATATTATTACTGTACCAATTTTACCCCAAATCACACCTTATTCATGTGATGGACGAACAAAAGCTGAATCGGTAAACCTGGCTTTATACACAACTAAAAGTGATTATGCCTGGTGGATGTGATCTACACTGGACCAAAATACAACAATATTGACAGATTTGAAGTTCCCTAAACACATTTTTGCAGGATTTTAGAAGGCAGTTCAAATCTCTAGGCAGATTTATGCATACACAAAAAAAATTTCTAAACATATTCAGGCTTCCCTCATAACCAAAACACCAAATACAAGAAAAGAATCACTAACGAAACACTGAAAACATGAAAAGCATACAGTATATACATCTACTTTTTCCTCGGCTATCGGTTAAATAAAGTAAGGTAAGCTTGGTAGTACTGTATTATCGTTTCGCTTATCCAGCGAATTTTAGAATTTTAGGTTTGGAATTGGTAGTTTTTTGTATTTTTTTATTTCTATATGGTTCTTTATTATTATTATTATTACAATATTATTATTAATATCATTATGATTTTATTATTTTATTTTCAATTTTATTTTTTTATTATAAATTTTATTTACTGTGAATTATTATTATTATCATCATTATTATTATTATTATTACAGTATTATTATTTTTACATTTTCACCCCCCAGGCCCCGATGTGGGTCAGTGACCTGTGCCCAGGTGGACTAATCCCCCCCCCCCAATTTAAGACTCATTTCTTCTGTAGTATTTCTTCCACAAATTATTACTTTCCGAAAAGATCGCAATAAATTGTTGGAAAATTTTAATATTTTTTCTAAGTTCCTGTTTATGTTACCATTGTCCGAGAGAGAGTTCCTGTGTGTTCGTTTGTTGGTTACCACAGTGTATGCTGCATTACGCATGCACTTGAGCCCAATGCATGTGCAGTTCTTCTTTGGATGTTGATTGGTGGGTATGATTTTGAATCAACCTATCACAGCTCGGTATAAGCCCCTGCCGTCAACCACTTGAATTTGAATTTATTTCTGCCATGTCTCCCTTGTGTTTTCAATTACTTCCAAACCATTGCCAGATTTCACATCGATTATTATGGTAAAGATGGAGAGGCGTGGAAATTTCTACACGAACACGGTGTTCTACCTATGGAAGTTACTTCCATAAGTGTAACAAGCCTTGTAGTTACCGAGCTGAAAAACACCTTTGGTACTGTCCAAGAAAAAATGTTATTCCCAAGTCAAAGAAGACGAAGAAAAGGAGTGGGTGAAGCAGCCTGGCAACAAGTCCGCCTACTTCAAGCAGTACCTCGCACGCTACTTATTTATCACGCAGTTCAGTGAGGAAAGGCTTTTACACAAGTTCTTCATCACTGCCAGCAAGCTTGAACCCCGCAATCAGAGAAACAGTAGCCAGTGCGACCTGTGGATGACGAGGAGGAGGACCAAGACGACCCCAACTCCAAGTTTTCTTAGTCTAATTAAGCCAAGCACATAGGTGATAAGTTGGGTTGGGTTGGTTTAGGTTAGGTTTTGGATGATTCTGACCTTCATTTCTTTTGCAAATTACTACTTTTTGTGATTTCCCCCCACCCAAAACCCCTGGTTCCCACTGGGCATCCCCCATTATCATTGGTTAAGGGGGGGGGGGGGGAGTTAGCTCAAAAGTAGTGATTTATGGTAAAAATGAAGGTCAGAATTGTTCACAACTCATCAAAAACGACCCAAAAAAATTTTCAACTTCCAAATAAGTGGATAACCGAAACACTAATTTTACCGTAAGCTTTTTATAGTATTAGGACTTTCCTATTTTGGGAAAGGTTAGGTTAGGTTTTCAAAGGTTAGTTTCGGGGTTTTTTTTATGTTTTAACTCCGCATTGTCGTTGCTAGTGTAAGGGTTATATCTCATTGAGGTATTGTTTTACAATTAAACAACCAACTAACCTCAAGGTAAGGTTACGTTATGTTGTTTTGTTAGGTTAGTTTTGATGTTGTTTGGTTGTTGAGCAATGTGTTTTTCCGATGTTAAAATCAATGGTTGTCCACTTGTAAAATTTTTCCTTCAATAAATATACATTTCCCATGAAAATAAAGGTCCTATTCATTTATAATAGGAAAAAATACATAAAACCTATTTATTTAATAATCAATTTTCCGTTATAGTATAAAAAAAAAGAATCTTTACCTTTGGTTTTCTGAAATATCAGGTAAAACTTACCTTATGTGGGTTTGGACAGTGAAATGAGAGTATCTACTCTTGAGATGAAGCATTACACAGCCAACTCATGTCAATACAGTAATGCTCTGTACTGTACTTCACACTTGTACATCACTGACTCAACTCAGCCACGGCTCTTGAAGTTAGCAGAATTTCCCGACATTAACCAAAACGTAACCTACAAAAAGATATGACATAGTGAGTCAATTAACGAGATCAAAACACTTGGTTATACAATGAAATAAACAATGTCAGAATACTTAATTTATTACACATAAAATAACCATGACACACGAAAAAAAAAATGTTCACTGTCATTAAAAGTGAACCAAACTACGTAAATATCACAATAAAAAATGCCAAGAGTTGATTTACCTCATTCATCTGGAAATGGTCCAAAGCGTATCCACAGTATGAGGAAAATACTTCTCTCACATCCTTTTCTTTCCTTCCCAGAGAGACAATCACCCCACACACACTCATAATGTCTCAGCGGCTCTCAGGTGTTACTGGCGGCTATTTACCTCATTAAAATTGTCTTAAATACTCTCATTTTCACTCAATTTCCTTCATCAATGTTCACCGTTGTCGCCCGATTATTATCACAAATTGTAAACAAAGGCAAAGGGAGTTAGATTGTATTTAAGGATGATAGAAGGTTCAAACTCCTTCCTTTATACACTTGGATCCTCTTATTACAGTTATATTTTGTTTTTAATATAGGTACTTGATCCTCTAGGTAGCTTCCTGGTCAGCCTTGCCTCATTGATATGCATTAATTTTTTTCCACAGGTTCTGTATTTGTTATATAATTAGTAGTTTATGTACAATAGGAGAGAAAGTCACTTCTCTTTTGATATATTAAATCGGTGGAAAAATGGCTGTTGTTGTGACAGTAAATTTAAATGGCGTTTTTACATAGAGCAAACAATGGGATGGTGCATATGGTAGAGAAGGTTCGTTTTACACTTCTACAACAATGTAAGGTTTGTTCTATTAACCTACGACTAAGTTCACCACATTATAAGCCACAAAACAAAGGTATTTTAGCTAATTACTAATCGCCACAAGTAATTTTTCACCAGTATTCATTCATCTATAGTTAGATTTTTTTTTTACAATAATTGGTCAAATCTGGACTGTGATGTTACCAGGTGACAGCCATAGTTCTGTAGAGGCCTGACTCCCTTGGCGACATATGCTTCATACTCTTCTACTTCTCATTTAGGTGCTTGTTGTTACCCTCAGTTCTTCTCTTTCAAAATCCTACTCGAATTTATTCCACTTTAACTTATGGTTCTAAGTGCTCTTGCTCTTCTGTAAGTTATAGAGGGGAACAGTCGTAGTGATTCATGGTCTACCTCGCCTCGCTTTCACAACCTGGCAACATCTGTTCTCCTCCCCCTCTCCCCCAAATCCTCCCATCCCCCTTCCACCTGCTCCCTCCTCCCCCGTCGTATCTACGGTATTTCTCATTCCCTAAGTCCTCCTTTCCCCCTCCATCGTTTATGCCATCCCCTTCCCTTGTTCATGTGTCCGCCTCCTCCCCCATCTCCTGGTTCCCCCTCCACCCTCTCCCCTCCCCTCCTATCCTCCCTCGCCACTCCCTCGTCCCTACATCCCTCTCATCTCACTCGTTGTACCTACTAACCACACCAACAACAGAGAGTATGTTCGTTGACTGGTATCATTGCCGTCAAAATGGATCAACCAACCAGATCAACAGCTCTAAAATTACCCACAACAGTTAGCGTAATTTACTTTATCAGCCGCTTGTGTTCACCAAACTGTTACCTTGTGGGGTACGGGTTGTTGGGTTCACACTCAGGATGGGATGGAGAAAGGAAACTCACAATGTGCTCTCTGTGTACATGTTGTATTGGATGTACAATGCAGCTTGATGCTGGGAAGGCAGCATGGTTACAAGCGTTGAGTAAGGAGAACTGGTTGGTGAGGGTGCCCAGAGGAGGACCAGCTTGTGGGTCGCCATGGTCGCCGGCGGGAGCGAGAGCCGCCAGGCAGGAGTGGAGGAGGTGATGTTACTTGAAGACTGGCTGTAGGTAGAAAGAGATAGGTCACCACGAGGTCAGGTCTTATATAGCGGAGGTAGGCGTGGCTTAATAGTTGACCTCCGTCATGTAAGGCGGCGCTGGTTGACCCAGACCACGAGGCACACTGGGGAATTCGCGGGGTCGGCTACTCAGCGACAAACAGCGTTTGTAGGGGAGGAATCCACTACAAGCTTAACTAGTCTTTAGTAAGGCGGTCAACCCACCAACCTTTCTCAAATAACTTTACTCAATACTTCACTTTTTATCCTCTTCACCACTGATTGGCTCGTTAGCCGCTTGGGCGATCGGTCACGTCTCTGTTACGCACTATTGGCAAGTACTGGGTATGCACTGGCTCCTGAATCTATCTGAACCTGCTCCAGTGCAAGGGCAGATCCAGGTGGGTCCTGGGGTCCGGACCCCCCTTTTCACCAGAAAATTCCAATAATTTTTCTTTAATACAGTATTGTACTCAGGCGCTTTTGTTGAGTAAAAAAAAGTAATTACTATTGACCTCAGAATCTCCTAATATCAATTGCACATGGCTTCAATATGTCCTCAAAATGCCCATGATATTGATCAGATTAAAAAAAACATCTGGGCGGAGGGGCTTTCAACCACCCCCCTCCCATCTGGATGGGCTCGCTTTGCTCGCCATGTTTCCCCACCTAAAACTTCTTGGACCGTCCCTTTTTGATAGTCCTGGATCCACCTCTGTAGTGCTGGTCAAGTCTGGTCTTCAAAAAGCTCACACTCGGTGCCGTCACAACACTCACTGGCAGGTTGTTCCAAGAATTCACAACTCTCACCCCGAAAAAGTTTGCCCTCACAGTTTTTTTTTTTAGATTTTTTCAGATTGCCCCCGAAGGGGCGAGTTTATTGGGCACCCCCTTACATCCTGTGCAAGGTGAAGCACAGAAGCGTTTACAGTTCCCATCTGGGAAGCATACAGAGTTCATGCTTGCCTTTATGACTCATGCATTAAGGGCGTAAAAGCCTGAAGGGTCATGGGTTTTGTCAGCAAGTTACATAAAGTGACAGAATGATGAGTGTGTGGGGGCGAAATTTCCCGGTACAATTTATCTGTTTATGGCAAAGCGTGGCAGGTCCCTAATAATGTCAAGTGCCAGGCCATAGGCATTGACAATATTGAGGGACATACCTTTTAGTGTGATTGTGATGGCGTGTATGTCGGTAGTGTCTGCTTCAAGGGGGACGTCAAGAGGTTGGTAGGGGACGTCCTTCTTGGCATAGATACGTAGTTCACTAGCATGTCCGCATGGTGGTCAATTGATGTGGAGAACTGGAGTGGGTGGGCCCCAGGTGCCGGCATGCAGGTGGGGGACGGGCAGCTGGAGGTGGTGTCCTCGGGTTCATGAACGCTCGGTGGGTGGACGGGGGCAGCCGGGCATGGGGCAGGCTCAGTGTGGACGCCAGCAGTGGTGCCAGGCGGCGGTGGAGTAGGCCGTGAGCATGAGGGGCACACGGGGACTACCAGGTTGTGTCAAACCAGAAGAGGGGGGTGACTGGGTAGCAGCTGGAGGCAGGGGTAGGTTGGAGATGGCGGTACAGAGTGTATCAAAGAGTCTTTCAATACGGTTGGTAAATTCGTGTAAGAGGGATATGATCTGTGTCGCATCACTGGAGGGGGGTTGTGGGGGGCACCGGTGGGGGCACAAGGCCTGACAGCATCAGAGTAGAGACGGAGAGGAGGCCCAGTTGTAGTTGAGTTAGGAGACGGCCGGGACTGCTGTGTTGCAGCCAGGTGAGGCCAGGCAGGGGCAGGGGTTGTTGAAGAAAGAGTTGCTGGAGACAGAGGGGACGCAGACGGATGTGGCTCGGTCCACTGGGGGAGAGGTTGAGATGGACGCAGCCTTCGGGGAGGCTTTTCTCCTGGGACAGACGGACGTTTGGGGCATTGTCGCGAGTCAGCATTGTACCAGCCACCACAATTACAACACCTGGGGTCAACAACATAGCCCACACCACCCCCATTGAGGTGGTCTTTGATTTTTTGGGAACAGACGGAGGAATGATGGTTATGTGAACAGAAGCGACATTTGGGACGATCAAGTCGGCAGCAAGCGGTGAAGGTGTGACCCCAATGGGAGCAGATGACACAAAAAGCAGGCCCGGGGCGATATGGTTCAGCACGCAGTGGGAGGAGGACTGGGTGGGCATCAACAGTGGTTGAGCACTCCCTCCCCTTCCATTTAACTTTGACAGCTGCTTGTGGGGTCTTCCCTCAGTAGTGTCGACGTATACTGAGCATATGTGGATTAAAATTACGAGCATCTTCGACTTCAGCGTATAGGAGGAACTGTTTAACTAGGATGTGGCAACATTCCGCTGCGTCAGCAGGTAGAGGAACGAGGAAAACCCCGTCAAATCCAACAGTACTGAGTGTTTCATAGACCTCAGGTGTCTGACACTTGATAAAGTTACGGTTCTCACCTTTTCGGAATTGAATGGTGAGACCGTGTTGTCTCCAATACTTTGCTGTCCAATTAAACCGTTCCTCGACGTTTTTCAATAAGTCCTTGGGTAAGTGCAGATGCAATATACTTGGTTGGTTGGCAGAGGGGCGGGTGTCGTGGGGAGAGTCGCTACCCTTGGCATTGGTGTTGCCACTCCAGCAAGTGTTTCCCATAGAAACATTGCTGTTACTGTCACTATCACTGTGGGCTGACTCTTGCAGGGTGTGGGATGCACTATGACTACCCGTCTCAGAAATGTCTGTATCCATGAGAGAGGGGACGCCTCTTCTGGGGCACTTACGTCGACCCCGCCCCCCCATCGCTGGCAACACTTGCCGGCGAAGGGGTAGGTAGAGACTAAGGTGGCCTTTGTGTGACGATCGGGAGGACAGGAGCACCTATGGGCACACGTCTGTCCTCTTATGTGGTCAGACCGCGACTGCCCTCACAGTTTTCTGGATTTGCAGCTTCTTCAACCTTGAGTTGTGACCCCTTGTGGGGCAGGCGTCCACCAACTCCGGGTAAGGACACTTGACTGAGTAGTGCCCTTTTCGATGTTTATACACCTCAATTAGGTCCCCCCCTTGTCCGTCTGTAGTATAAACTAGGCAATTGCTGGTGCTCTATTCTCTCAGGGTTTCTGAGGTGCCGAAGTGCAGGCACCAGTCTGGTGGCCCTCCTTTGGACATTTTCGATCAACTGACAGTGTAAAGCATTTCTAGGGGACCAGACGAGGAAGCACCTAGTTCTTGAAGATTGTTACAATGCACGAACCGTCTATATATATGAACGACTTTCTTATAAGACCTAATAATTTAGTTGCTTGGCTTACCCTCTTCTCACAATGTCCCGAGAACTTCGGTTCATTGTCAATATACACACTTCGGTCCTTTTCACATTCAGTCTCAATTAATACAGTTTCTTCATCCTGTTGGGACATATGATACGCCTCCTTACTGTTGGTATGTCCCAGGAACAGCCTCTTACACTTTGTGACATTGAATCTTGGTAGCCATTTCTTCGACCATTCTTGAAGCTCACAGAGATCCTTCTGCAGCTCTTCACTTGGTTCTTAATTTCCCGAAATAACTTGGCATCATACGCAAACATTTGTATGGAAGAATATACAGCTTCTGGCATGTCATTTATGAAGCAAACAAACAACAGCAGGCCCAATACACTACTGCCCTGTGGTACCCTGCTTGTTACTTGTCACGGGCACGATTTTCTGCCATTAATCACCACACACTGCTTGGATCAGAGAAAGTCTCCGATCCACGCTAGGACACTTCCCCAAATCCCGTACCCTTCCAGTTTAATTTTCAGTCTTTTATGGGTACGCAGATGAAAGCCTTGGCAATATCTAGGTAAATATTGTCGATAATACCACCCTGTTCCAGAATTTGGGTCCAAACATCCAGTACCTTGAGTAATTGTGTTAAGCCGGAGTGCCCCGGCATAAAACGTTAGTCTGATTCATATACCGTAGCAAGTTTGAAATAGGGCTCTCTGGGATGTTGCTCCATAAGTAGACTCAATCCCTCCAGTCTTCTCCAACCTCATTTAACTCACATACTGTACACTATAAGTTTAAATAAAAAAATAATATTTTACTGAGAGTTTACAGAGCTGTATATTGATTAGCTTGTTTCAGGTTAATATGTTAAACAAGAGTTAGAAAAAAATTCAAATATACTGTACTGCAGGTACAAGATGAAATTTTATTTTGTCAGTTCCAGTGCAGTATTTCTGTTAAACCTCAGATAATCGGGAGGAAACAAGCCTATTACAAATTTGGACACATTTTTGAAGATAGTCCTTAACTTCTCCTTTTATGGGAAAGGAGACTGACTTATGTTGCTCCAGGTTAAGAATGGTCTCCCACTCACTTAATACTGTACCTGTACTTGAAGAGGGTCAGCAATTACAATAGTTTAGAAAGGTTTTGCTGTGTTACCCAGACCAAGTCAAGGATGATGAAAATATCAATACAGTACTGTATTCCAGAAATATTTTTAATACAACAGCATTGTTATGGATTGAAAGAAAATTCACACAACGGTCTACTTATATATTTAAAAAATTCATACAATATTTCTCAGTATATTCCAGTCTTCTAACATTATTCAACAGTTTATCAAGACAATTACAGTAGAGCCTCATTAGATTCAGCCAGATTCAGCCAAAAGCATTAAAAAATCCAGATTTATGTATAAGGTAATGTATAATACACTGTACTGTACTATGAAAATCTAAATATATTTGCTTCTATAAACTACAGTTCTTTGTACAGATCAATTTACACGGAGGGTGCAGTACTTGCCTGTGGTATGAGTGTTGTGTAGTACAGTACATCCAAAGGAAGGAAGTTATTTAAAAAATAAATTTTATAAAAATAAATGTTCCTCAATATGCATCACTTTTTTAACAGAAGCCTAAGAAGAAACTACTATAGTATACTGTACACCGGTACACCAGTGGACACCAGTATACAAATTAAGGTGGAGTCAAGGTATGATATTATACGGTACAGTTTTTGGCCTTAAACTTGCTGTCTCTTCTGTTACACTAATTTGTTAACCTCTAATTCACCACATTTCAACACCCTCAATAGTTTGACTTTTACACTATACTATTATAATTTGTTGCCTTACTCTTTCACCTCACAGAAATCAAGATTCCAATGTACAGTATTGACAGAGTTGAGATATAACACATCACAAGTTACTTCCATCTTACCTCATATAATCATGAGTACAGTATTAAAGGACCCAACTGGTGGTTCCAGATAAGATGACCTATAGTTTTTTTAATCTATTTATACGTATATACCATTCACTTGGTCTTTGAGCTCAGAGAATAATACATATACTGTACAGTATTTTATGACACATCTAAACCTACAACATGAATACTGTATAGACTTGGCTTACAGGTACTGTACTGTAAGTTGGTTCTGTTTAAAAATAAAAAATTAAATTTGTGGTACATTATAACTCAGTGATACAGTTATAAAAAGATTCACTTTTCATTTACATTAAAACAAATCTTTTACTTTGCAAGAGCTAACTATGTTATGCCAAAAAGGAATCTCATATCACCTAAGGTAATTTTCATGACCTTACAAAATACAACTGTTCAGACATACAGGTATCCCCCTATTTATGATAGGATTGCATTCCTGTGTTTCAATGGGATATGTTCCTGGCATGTCCAACACAGACATTTAACACAGAAAAAACGATCCTACACTAATTAATAAAAAATATATTAATAATTAAACAACACTCGCCACATTAATAATAACAAGCCTACCGTTTAGCGATGTTTAATTTCGTCTCCAGAGACGAGATCTTCCTCGAAGCCTTGCCTTTCCCAGAGGCGGGAGAGTCAGCAGGACGCTTGCTAGCCATTTTCAAAGATACAATAGTTACTGTACACTAAACACTTCAGTTGCTAAAACAGAACAAAATCTGAATGATAATGTTTTGCTCTCAAGAATGATGGCATAGTTTCACAACGATCACAAGGTTATTAATTATTATTAACCCTTAGGCCCCGGGTTAGGGTGCCGCTGGGCGTACCCACCCCCACAGGGGTAAATCAAGAAAAATCAACTTTTCCAAAAATAATATTTAACCTTTTTAAATGATAAAACAATAAAAAAGAAGTAAGAAAAACTATATATTGACCCTCTAGAAACTTCCCTGGCAGGGGGGAGATAAGGGGACAGCCTGTTGACGGCAAGCACTCGTGGTCACATCCGCACTTAGCAGCTATATTTAGCTTGCCTTTGTGTCCCAAATGGCCAATAATGCATACACTGTATTTACTGATCATAATACTTATTTGCTATAAATAATTAATTTCAAATATTTTATTTGCATTATTTTTCATAAAAAATGCTCGGCAACACACAGGCAGTCGGTCGCCAGGTTGTCTGGCTGTTTTTGTGTTTGGTAGAGCAAATAATGCATAAAATAATAATAATTCCACAAATAGATACATTTATAACATAATCATAGCATTATTTTCCTGTAATACTACACTACAATACAACTACACTACTTTTAGCAATAATACTTTGATACAACATGATAAAAGGGACAAGCAATGAAAATGAAACAAACAAAAGTAGGTACAGTAATTACGTTCAGGAAGCATCCCTGTTGCCGAGCTTGTGGCGTGACACGCAAATAGTCACACTGGAACCTGATAACCCATACTGGGCATTTAAACAGTGGCGGCAAAAGGTGCGCGTTCTGGAACGTCACACGGGGTGCGCCGGTCCGGAACGTCAACAAGGGCATAAGGGTTAATGATGACGTTTGTTACATGAGTGAGGGCAGATGCGTCCACATTGAAACAAAGCGTGGGACTGCAGTTCACATGGTGGCCATGAGGCAGCACGTGGGTAAGTGAACTGCAGAGGATGGCAAAGCAGTTTTTGCACATATACTTTTACTTTTATCCTCTTCACCACTGTTCAGCTCGTTAGCCGCTTGGGCGATCGGTCACGTCTCAGTTACGCACTGTTGGCAAGTACTGGGCATGCACCGGCTCCTGAATGTACCTGAACCTGCTCTAGTGTTGGTCAAGTCTGGTCTTGAAAGAGCTCACACTCGGTGCCGTCACAACACTGTCTGGTAGATTGTTCCAAGAGTTCACAACTCTCATTCCGAAAAAGTTTGTCCTCACAGTTTTGGCCATCTTGGATTTGGCAAGTGAAGAGTGATATGCACTTCCCCAGTATTACATTCCATGTTAGCAAGATTAACCTAATGATAACTATTGTTAACGTGGATTTTACCTGACGTAGATTAATCAAGGATGTTAAAATCTAATAATTGTTAATGCAGAATATCATAAAATAATGATTGGGGGATACCTGTACAACTTAATTTTTTCATAGACAACTTAGAAAATTATCAAGATTCTGCTTAATATTAACACAAGTAGAAAATAATCAATAAAAACCTTAAATTTATCCAAAATTCCAACAATCTTGTCAGAAATTTTATGTGCTGTCATTTATCACAATACTGTATTAACTTCAAGTGTATATCTGTCAAGTTCTATTTCCATTAGCTAAACAGTTTGCAGTACTGGTATGGGAGACAAACATGGAATACAGTACAGGTATACAGAAATAACAGAGCTGTTAAATGGTCACAGGAATGGCAACACTAGTTTGGGATGTATGTAGTAAAAGAAAATAAAGCTGGAGTAGTTTCAGGAAAGGTAGTTGGAATGTGTTGTATGGCTGAATAGAAAGGGATTAAATTTTTTTTAGTTTAAGTATATCATAGGCTTTCTGGGTCATTCCATAAGAACTAGATCCATCATATTCCTTTTCTACTTGGTGATTAAAACAATAAGATTGAAATAGTTATCCAATTGCTTCACCTTAGTCAATAATAGTGTTGATATAAACTCTCTACTGTGAGAATTAAATATATGATACTTTATGTAATCTATCTCTGACTAAACCTTGGCCAAACTAACTAAATCTTCTGTAAACTACCCTAATCTAACCTTGTTTTACCTGACAATCTAAACTTAACCTATGGTAACCAAACCCCATTAGAATGAAGATACAGGTAATCATTTGATATGCAGATATTTGAGCAGTACTGTACATTTAATAGGTAGAATACAATAGATCTGAAGAATCACATATCAGACTCTAAGGAAAGTAATGAAACAAAAATATGTGAGTCACAAGATATGACAAAATTTAATTGAAAAATGTACAAAAGACTCCAGTGTATATTAAGTTGGTCAAACCTTCATCTTCAAGCAGTAGAATGGTTATTGGATACTGTACAAACAAGATTAATTTCTTCAATGATGTTCGGATAAGGGACATACCATAGTAAGGAAGGAAGAATAAAGTTAGGAACATTTTATAAAGGGAATGGTTTATATATTAAATTTGTTGTACTGAAAATACTAAGAGCTGCTGCATGTGCAAGAGTGAAAGAAAATAGATAAAACAAATATATTTTACAAGTGTCAAAATTAAAACACTGTACATTTATCAGACCAGGTGCAGGGTTATGATGTGGATATAATGATGGAAGGTTAGAAAATGGAAATGAGGATATAAGACGGGGGATCAATAGGAAGCTGTGTGTGTGCGCTGAGGTGCTGCTACTGGGGTACTGAGAGACATCTTGCTTCAGCCACTCTGTTGTATACCAGAAAGAAGTCATACAAGATAAAGGCAGATCAAATATATCATAATAATCCATTTTCAAAGCCTTAAAAATTAGTCTACCTCTCCAACTATATCTTACAGCCATTTATTTGCTATACCACATAGTGGATAATGCAAAGCTTCAACCACAATCATGATAATGGAAAGCTTCAACCACAATCATTATCAATGAAAATTTCTGCTAATTCTGCCTTACCATTGACTCATGTGAACACAAAATTAAAACTCGGTAAGAACTCTACTATCTGCACAAATTAAGCTAATTACTAAATTCTGCCAACATTTGGCATTCTTAACAGCTGTCATAATTCACAGAAGTTTATTGGATGCTGGCTTCTAAGTGAGGCCTGCTGCCACATCAGGGAACTCACTACATTTTTTTTCCTTTCAGTATTTAGTACAATCAAATTATTCCATGTAAAGACTAGCCATCAGATCAATTTGGAATAAAGATAAGCATAGATAGTCAGAATAGTGGATGAGGGAAGTTGTATTTTCTGAATCCAATTGGGAAGGGCTGCTATTCATGACCAGACACTAGACCTGAAGGTGTTACAGGGTCATGGACCTAGTGTTGGGTATAATGACAAGAGATAAACAGATGAACTGGCAAATGTGTGTGTTTTATAGTGGGGGGGGGGGGGGGTAGACTCAACTCGCATGAACTTTGTGAATTTTAAATGGCAACAAATTAATTCAAATGAAATAAATTAAGGTGCCGAATGATTGTCGGACCACAGTCAAATTGCTACTAGTGTCTGTAAGTGTTTGTAATGTGTATGTAATATATACATGTCAATATGCTTTGATAACCAAACAACCTCAGTCTGTTCCTGATAGTCACATGAATCCAAGACAAGAGAGTTGTGCACACATAAAAGATTCTTTTTATACTGTAGTGAAGACAGTCATCACAAAGAGGACACATTCACCTCCCATGACCCATAACAAATGCATCATCTTAATACTAATCACACAAACCTTTCCACATAAGAGATAATATACAATATGCTACTTTCTTAAAACCAAAAAAAAGATGTACATAAATTCTTTTCAAAATTATTAAGCAAGGATCAAAATATTACCTCATGTGAGTCTTTATATTCAGATATCCTTGGTTTCATCCCAACAGGCAATTAAACTAGTCAGACTCTACTGTAAAACTTTATACCTGTAATTTCACTAACGCCATAAAAAATACAGATCTGTATGCGGGTGTAGTTTTGCACAATTAAATTTTGTTGCACGAGTCATTATAACATGCAATGAATGTAGTACAAAAATACAATAGAATACAAGATGTAGTCCCCCACTGCTTGTAACTCACTGCATTGGACTGTAGTTTACATAGTCATTTCTATTCTATGTATGGAATGAATTTTTCTCCCCATTCTAAAACTCTCAAATTTAACTAACACTTCCATAAATTTTTTGATAGAAAGTAATACAGTTGTTATAGTTATTATCATCATCCCAAAGTCAACAAAACATAGATACAGAATATTTACCTAGGAGTTCAAGAAAAGTAACCAGATGTAGGAACTAAATATAACTTTTTAAATTTTCACTGGGAGATGATATATGTCAATCATATGTTGTACTAGATATCAAAGACAGGAAAAATATGTACTGTACTGTATATGTATGCAGTATTAGGATATTTATATACAATTTCTGTTTTACTCGTTATAAAGTACTGTACAACACTCTTGTAAAAAAAAAAAAATTAAATACCGGTATGTCTTTGTTAATGGAAAAAATATAATGGCCATACTGTATTTCCTTTAATTAATAAACTCAAAGATAAATTTATCCTGACAGGGGTAAGGAAATTATACCAAAACAGATAACCAGAAAGTAAATTAAATTAAACCCTGACTACAAGCTTAAAATAACTTGTGAGTGATGGTGAGGATTTGTATAAACAGAAATATATGACTTTTCAAAGCATTTAATTTAATCTAATATAGTTGGGATACTGAATATCAGTCTTCCCTATGTGTAGTCTTGATAATTTCTTTAGTATTTTCCAAAATATAATTGAATTCTAAAACATCATATTAGCCACTGCAGAAATATAATTCACATTATCCTTCTTCTTCGCTTAGAGTCGACACAACATATGTCACCGTCCACGCAAATAAGGCAAAGCCAACAACAACAAGAAGGTTCGTCAGAGCGGACATCTGACTAGCATCGAGGTTTTGGTTTGCACTATCATTGCTTGTCTGACCTCTGTCGCTTTGATTCCCTGACTCTGCAGCCTTCGCTCTCTCTGCCAGCTCCTGTTCGCGCTGAGTCAATTTATTCTGGATCACCTGTAGTAAACATATGTAAGGAAGAAATAGATTTTCAGATTCCAGATGTTCCATTCAGATATAACCTTACAAGTTAAAGATTTTGATACAGGAATTCCCACAAGGTGATAGTATTAAGGACTTGGTACCTTACACTACACTTGATTAGAAATAAATCAATATGGAAGTTTAAAAGAAGAATGGTTGAAGGAGCTGTGGAAAAATAAATCTTATTGTCAGTCAAACTCTGGAAAACAATTTGATATTGGCAGTTACAGTACAGTATAAATATTAAAGTTGCAGTAACTAAAAAAAAGACAACTGATGACAGAAAACACCTGCTGTAATGGTCACAGTTGTACCGATATTATATTAGCACCCACACTTATATTATGTTTCATTATCCATAAAACATTCTGTTTACTTGAGGTATCCATTAAAACCTTTCTCTCTAAACAGTATCAGAGAGAAGTGACATTCTTTCATGACAGCTGTGTTTATATTAAAGGGTCCAAAGAGAATATTCAAAACCCTGTATAACCATGTATGCGTAGTATTTATTTATACCAACAGATAATTGGAGCCTTCAAGATTATGTGAGTATATGTTGAATGCCTTAATTGTCTGTAATTACTATGTAACGTGAGCAAGTATAAACCCCCACTGAATCAGCCTGGAATGTGAGCAAGTATGAACCCCCATTGAATCAGCTTGGAATGTTTTGCTTCTGTACTCTGATGTGATTTCTTTGAATTGAGATTGAATTACATTTATGTTTTGTGAACATCAGAGAATATCATGAATACCTTCAATAGTATGAAATATAGTGCATGAGGAAGTTCTAAAACCCATTAATCAGGGAGAATGTTCAACTTTTTCTTAACTGTTAGTAATCTGACACCTAAAAAATTTGAAACACGATATCCACTTAGTGTATTTTGTGAGTTTGTTGGGGACCAGTGAGAGCTCAGACATGGATCAGATTATAAAATTTAGATTTAAGAAAACAATGTGAACCTGCCCCACTACACAGCCACTGGGATAGGATAGCCTAATAACTGCCGATGGCCATCCTGACCTATAGCAGGAAAAGGCTTGTGCATGAGAAGGAAAAATACAATTGCTATGTAAATAGTGTATGGACAGAATGAATATGAAGAGACTGAGAAATAAAAATGTTCTCATCCTGTTTTTCGTTTCATGTACAGTTGACCACAGGAATACATATACACACTGTAGCTGTAAGGTCCAAAAATGGTCTGGTAACGTTGAAACTGCGCATTCAGACGCATGATAAAACTCAGCTCCCCCACCTGTTATCTCTAACTATTTTCTGTTTCCTCTTCTTTATTCTTCTATTTACTCCTCTTCCTTCCTTTACTAATCCAAACATCAGTAAAAAAAAGTAAGGTAAGAGAAAAAGTGAGGGAGGAGGAGGGAGCTGTACGATAACTCCAATCCCATTCGGCAACAAGTTTACTACCATCGGATACAATATATTACTTGTAATATAAACACAAGACACTAGTAAAACATTCACAATAAATGTATTTATAACATATATGTAGGAATAAAACAAATTACAGGTCATTTTGTAATTTTGTCTGTTCTGTTCAAGACAGTGTTACCAGATATTTTGTCTCAAATACGAACAGTAGGTGTATACTGTACTTATTCTTGTGGCTGACTGTACATATGTGAATGATCTCAACTACCATAGGAATCTCTCTCTCTCTTCCTATACATTTGCATTTCTTTATGGTGACCGCAGAAGGAACATATCTAATGTGTTTTCAATTAAATTTCAATACAGAAATTAATTAGAAATATATTTAGGCACTGCTTTAGAATATCTTACACTATGCTGAAAAACACAACACTACCAGAGGCATAACAAGTGTTTGAGGAATACATAGTTTTCACTAAATATAAAGGAAGACAGACCAGAGTATTTGAAGAGGCAATGGCTTACATAGAGTAAATCATTAAATAAACAGGTAAAACTACATCAACTCTGAGGGATGAAATAAATAATGTTGAAAATAAATCAAATTTGAGCTACTCATTTTTCTATTATCAGATGGCCCAGACATCAGCCGAGTCAGTTAATTTGCCAGTATGTACAGGTATCCCTCATTTAACGTTCATTCACTTAGCGATATAAAATTTATAACGCCTTTTCTTGTTTAACGAATGGTCAAAATTCAGTTAAGTGGTGTGTGACTCATTGGAAAAACTCAAGAGGCAAGTTGGAAAAACTGAGGGCTCTGTGCTTCAAGTGCAAATCATTACAATACTCTAATGTGGCTTAGAAATAAAGAAAATTAAATGTAATAAAAAATGATAAAATAAGAAAAATGAAGAGCAAGGGTGTGTATGAGTGGGAAGTGAATGTTTGTATTGAGGCAGTGAGCTGTAACTGCAGCCAGCCTTACTCTCTCTCCCCCCTATGCGACGTCACGGCAGTCACACACGTCTCTTGAACTCTCTCATGTGTATACTGTACCAGTAAATGTGAGGAATGAATAAATAAAAGCAATAATAATAAATAAAAGAAAAAATACTGCATTCCCATTTGGCAATCATTTCACTACACAGGAGACAGAGAACAGCTGAGAACCTCACGCCTCACCCTCCTCCTCTTTCCTTTCCCCAGATCTGTGTACCAACTCCCATGCACATAAGAAATGTTTATTTCTTTATGCTTTTTACTTTATGATAATTATTTCTTTTATTGCACATTCTGTGTGAATGATTGTGTGTGCATGTAACAATAAAAAACAAATAAATAAATAAAAGTTTAAGTAATCTACCCAAAATTACAAGTTGAAAAATAACCATAACATAGTTGACAGCCTCACCCACTCTTGAGTTCTACTGGGTGGTAAGTCGGCAACAGTTACAATCCAATGCCTCCAAGAGCCCACGCATACGATCACTTGCCACTCATACACACCAATGCTCTAATTTTTTTAATATATTTTCTTTATTTCTAAGCCACATTACAATATTGTAATGATTTTCCTACAACTTTTATAGTTTCATTACATGTAACAATGGCAACATGCCATCTCCATGGATATTATTCCTGGTTATTCTTTGTTTAGCAGGAACACATCACCATCGCTAAATGGGGGATACTTGAAGTTGATTGAAAATGAAGCCTGTGGATTTCTCGTGTCAAAGCCAAGATACAATAACATGACTGCAATTTGTATCACTGTACCGAACAAGAAAATGTGACGTACCTCCATAGTGTCAGGAAATAATTCAGCGAAGACCTTGTCCTTAAGGTTGAAACTCAGACTCTGCTGAGCTAACTGTCTTTTCTCATAATCACTTGTTTCAATGCTACCAACTGTTGGAGATTTTTCTACCTGTTTAAAGAAATAAACTACTATACCGTATATGATAATCAGTAAACATTCTTCTATTTAAATGTGCATCTGTATTCCATGGTTATGACATACTGTACAGTAATACTATAAGAATTTTCCTTTCTACAGCAATGTGGAAGTAACAAGATATTTTTAAAAATTATTTACTTCTTTACTTTCAAATATGTAAACTACAATCCAAACATTAATCACAAGTGTGAATTCTGTAATACTCTATAATAGCCTGTTATACATTTTTATAAGACTCTGAACTAGTGAAGTTTTCATCAAGAATTCATAAAAAAATCATATTATCATAATGGTAAACAGGAGAAACACATGATAGCTTTCACCATAGGCAATGAAACTCCTTGAGATACAACACCAAACTTTAAACACAAACATTAATAGTTCCAGGAAGTCACTACAGCACTAAGACTCACCATGAATGATAAAAGCCCTGTGAGTATCGTCGCAACAGACCAGGCAGGATTCCATGTGTCTGGGTGAAAATCTGAGATGGAGAGGCAGAGGCGTGTGTTGGTCTTGAAGCGTCCTGATGGGGTGATCATATAGATGCTTGGAGGACGGAAGGGGTACTCCATGGGGAACACCAACTTGCCATGGTAATACCCACCTTCATAAGGACTCTGTTCTGGACCCTCGACTACATAATGCCTGTGGGGATTTTCCTTCAGTAAAACTATAAAAGGAGTGCAAAGTGAGGAATATTATTGAAGGAACTATCAAAGTTCAAGAATGTGCACAATGTGGAGGTCCTAACAAAGGGTTGAGAAAACCTTTGTTAGAGGATTGGCGACTATGAGCTAAAGCTAAAGGCACAACTACACTTGTTAATGCAGTCTCTGTACAAAGGAGGCCTCAAGAGGGAAATAAACTAACAAGGCTTTGGTCTGAGTTTCATATACAGTACCCTGTACTAGTAAGCGCTGCACAATCACATGAGAATCACATATTAAGGTCACAAAAACAGATTCAACTAGAACGCCAACATTCCTAAAATGCAAGAGTGTGTCTGTCCTAGCTATTAGTAACAGAATATAGAAACAAATCAAGCTCTACAAACTAACCTGAAAAATATGACCATACTGTAATGCTTACATAACCAGCCCTCTATATTATCTATTATAGTACAGTACTTAGTTCCTTTAACTATAACTTTTATCACCTATTTGTTGCAAAATTTTATTACCATTTATTTACCCCTTACAAAACATATTTAGCAGTAATTTATGAGTACCTGTACTGTACTTTGAAATATTTGTTTCCATTTTTTATTTACTAATCTCACTGAAATTATATGTGAGCCTGCTGATTCATGTTCCAGGAACATAAGCTGAATTCCTGTAAAAAATCTAATCCTACTTCTTCATGGAGGAAAGGTGCACATGACATTGTATAGTCACAATCTAAATTTTCTTTAACCCCCTGGCTGGAAGGAGGGCAAAGCCAAGGTTGAAGAAAGGCCAGATGAATGGACATACAGTACACCATTTGTGCTATCTTTATATATTAATACAATATTCATGAAACAATTGCAGCCCTACCAACATACCGTATCGTGTCAATGTTTGTAATCATATTTCATACCTGTAATCAAGTGTTTTGCCCGAGTGACTGTGTTGAGGTGCTGGTGGGTGAGCCCGACCTTCATCATGCCTCATCACCAAACTACCGAATGAGTGTACTGTATGTTTGTTCACCTGGCTTTTCTTCAACCTTGGCTTTGCCTTACCTCCAGCCAGGGGAGGTAAAGAAACTTTAAACTGTGACTATACCTTGCTAATGTGACATATACTCTAGTTAAGCTTACCAAGTAAAGCTTGGAACACTTGCAGGTTAACCCAGGACATGAACCATCCACCTGGTCCCACATCTCACAAACTGATTTAAATTGGTTAAGTTTGGGCATGTACAGTCCAGTTGGCTCTCAGGTCAAATTTTCCCCACAAGAGATTTTCATCCAGCCTACGGATGTGGCAAGGTAAACTGGTAAAGCCATTGATTACCCAAAATTAATTCTTGCAGTTGGTATCAAATACAGTAGCATGATTATAAAAGTGGGCAATGAAACATGGGCTGTTAAAGAGGATGAGAAATGTAGGCTTAAAAGAGCTGAAATGAGAATGATGAAAGGAATGTCAAAAGCTGCATTGAGCAACAGGAAACCCTGTTCATAGCTAAGATTGCAGCTAGTAACTGAGAGTATTGACAGTTTTGTGTAGAGGTAGGCTTAGATGGTATGGTATGGGCATGTGGAAAGAAAGTTGACTAGCTGGTTCAAGGGATGTATGAGTTTGAATGTGGAGGGAAGTGTGAAAAATGGCCATAAAATTGTGATGACGATGATGACTGAAAGTCAGAATGACTCCCGATTTTTTACCCTTCCTGTGGGACTATCAAAATATTTGTGCATTCTAGATATTGATCCAAGAAACAGGACACTGAAACCAAAATTCCAAATTTTTTGTTGTTTATGAAATTAAGCTGTTTAAAATTCATGTAATAAGTTTACAAAACTTGAAAAAATAAAAATACAAGAAGTTCAGTCTATCAGAAACAGAAAGGTAACATACAACTACAGTCTACAGTAACTGTGAACTTACCACTCAAGAATGTTGGATGGTAGGGGCTCAGCCATGACATAAGGCACAGGGTCACGCTTGATGCGCATGTAGTCAGCCCGAAGGCGCGCTGAAGCTGTGCCCGAGTGCTTTGGCATAACTCCCAAAATCCAAATTCTGCAAAATAAAAATATGGCTTTTTCAAGTACTGTATCATTATCTAATGACTATAAATTGAAGAAATTAAGTTCTGTACTGTTTGTACAGCTGTCTGCACATGAACGTACCACAGCCTGGGAGGCTGAGGGCACAGGTACAATATGTGGCAACACAGCACCGTAGTCGTGGAAGTGAAGCTGGAGTACCCAGTGTGACAGTTCCCCATAGTTCAATCGTAGTGCTTGGTCGTGGCTATACAACAATGCTGTACTGTATAACATAAACAAATACGTAAAGTATTCTTGTGATAAGTGTTCTTCAGCATTGATGTGTGGTTATGCAAACAAGGAAATTTCATTGTTTCAAGCCCATTCATTCAGCCCTGACTATGGTGCTGCTTTCCCACATCTTGTGCCTGAGCCCTCACATTCTCCCAGGATGCGGTTCATTCATGTGGAAGCAACTGTACATTACAGGCTGCCATATTCAAATACTGTACCTGTACTCAGCTGTAATACTGCATATGAAGCCTAATTAATAAAACTAAATTTTATAATAAGGCATCACAATATAAAGTACTTATGAACATTGTTACTATCATGGATAATAGATTGATGAAAAAAAATTAAATAGTAATGTACAGTATAATGAAACTAAAGGAACCAGACCAGCAAATTTCAATAAGGTATATGATGAACACAAACAGTGAAAGATAAGCAAAAATGGTCTTTCATAAAGGTCATCTTTGAAGAACCATAACATACACACTGAACATGACACAACTAACACTTGACCAGAAACAACCAATATAAAGCTACCCAGGAAACAAAACTTAACCCAACCTACCTAACCTAGCCTAACAATCATCTAATATAATTTACTGAAGTTAGTTTAAGAAGATTATATAAGTTTCAATTTTGTATCTGTACTGTACTAATATTTGGCACGACTAACCATGTTTACAAGAAATGCTGTACTGGCTTAAAACAACATATTCTCTTTATAAGCTGTAGTCAGGGCCACCAAAATATTTCTATGACCTACCAGTATACAGTACAGTATATTATGGTATTTAAATGAACTTGATCCTGAGTGAAATATAGCCATGACTAATGGTACTCAGTACAGTATTTCACTTCAGATACAATCAGGTGTTCAGATATTGTTTTCAGTAATAATCAAAGAGAGTATCACATGTTAATTTGAAGAAATTTTTATAGAAGATAATTTATAAATGCTTTTTACCTCATAAAAAATCCATAAAGTTAAGAGGATTTACTACTTCCATGTTATTATTTTTATTCATTTTATCCTGGACATTAATCTAAATCAGCCTGCTACATCCAATGAAGCCTCCATATAATGGACTCCTCTCTCCATATAATCCATTAATGGAGGATTTCACTTCTAATGGACTTTCATCTCTATATAGTTTGTTAAATAATGTTTCACATCCAAGCTGTTCTAACAAACCCTCGATATAACAGACTTTCCACTCCATGTACTGTACCTGTAGTCGGTTAAAAAGAAATTTCACTGTACTGCTACATTACATGAATCATTGGATATTAGATGAACTAACTTACTGACCTAACCTACATATTTTAATTTAAGTAGATTAGTTAAGACTAGGTAGGTTAGACTATGTTGGTTTAGTCTGTCTCCAATGAATCAGATAATGTAGAAACAGCTGATAAGTTATTCCTCTGGAAGCATTGGTGTGTATGAAACACTGTTTGAGAAAAAATTGCCTCAATAATATTACAAAAACTTTGCAAATCTTCATCATTTATGGAAATTGTCAAAATACCGTACAGTATTACCAAATTTACTAAGAAAGCAATCATGTACATAAAATGTTCTAGTTGGTTGTATCTGTGGAATAGTATTAAACAAAGTGCTTATCATTACAAACATCAAAGATGGCAAAGCTGGGAGGTAGCATGTTGAAGTGTTCATGATGGAAAAATCATAAAATAATACAGTGTCACACAAATTGCAAATCTTTATCACTTTATGGGATTTTCATGGAGTAAGAAAGCATTTCTAGGCATTTTTTGTAAGGCATTTTAAGATGCACGGAATAGTTAATGAGTTAGCTTTCCCGGACTGTCATTAACAAATATGACATTTGTACCGCGTCTTGGAAATAACTGTTGTACTACACAGTCTTCAGACAACATTAAAATTAGAACTGTTATTTGGACACAATACGGAAAGAAATAGTGAAGAAAATATATAGAAAAATATGGAAAGAAAGACATAAAGGGAAAAAGAGTCAATCAATCAACAATAACCATGGCGGCTTGATCCATTTATATACAGAAAGGAGCTCCACTGTATGTTCTCTCATCTCGCGGCTACATTGTGTTGTTTACAGGTGTTTGCATATAATATACACACAATACAACGAATTTCAGGTTCATTATGTCTTAATTTTTGCACTTACCGGTACAGTACTGTAATAAACTTTTCACCCTTATTTAAAGTATCTTATGAGTAATGATATTAAACTTTCAATCATATTTGAGTAATTATCAATATTGTTACACCAAAGTCACCAGCGGCTAACGAAATCGGACAGCGCCCACTTAAAAATGGGCGGAGCCAAAACAGGTTTCAACTAGGCGCAATCCTTTTCAATTTATTCAATCCATACGCTTTGTTTTAGATCCTATTCAATATACTCCCGTATATAGAATTATTTTTATTATTATATCACAGTTTTTTATTACCTTACATGCCCTCAACTCTTCAATATTAATCAAAATATTCTCCGTAAGCGGACATGAGCCTCGTATTTTCAGTAGGAGAAATCGCCGATTGGCTGTTAGCTGTTTGAGCTGCTTGGGCGCTACACAAAGCTAACGCCTGATCGAGGTGTTAGCTTTTCCCTCTGAATGTGTCATGCGCACAATTCAAAAGCAGCGTCTGCGTATACAGAATAGCTAACGCGTTAGCTATTCCGTGGATCAAAAACGCCTTATATTTTACAGAAAAATTTCTTCAATTTCCTGGTTAATGTGTGGTACAGTACTGGGTCAATTTATGATAGTAGCCAGGTTTTGATTTTTCCTTAAAAAATACATTTTTCCTCTGGTTCTTGTTGTGATTCAAATGAACCTGACCTTCGTTTCTGGTGCTAACGGCCCTAACCTAACCAAACCCAACCTAACCTAACCGAAACCTGGCTACTATCCTAAATTGACCCAGTACTGTCTTCCAGTATTACCTTGTGTTCATTTACAGTACAAAAAGAGGTAGATGCCTTCATTGCCCAAGTACTGTACAGTAAATCAAAAGTCATAGTCAATGGGAAATCTTGCCTTGACAATAATATAATGTACAGTACTAACATTAGCTGGAAATGTTTGTGTGTGTATGGAAAAGATGCTGGGAAGTACTTATGTATATTGCTAAACTAATATTAAAAAAAGCTGCAAATCCTTGTCCTTTTAGGGGATATTAACATAGGAACTTAATACATTACCCATGAGTAAGAAACGGAAGCATTAATATTTAGGCAGTGGCTATTTTGCCACGACCGGCTAAGTTCCTTCTAACGCTATTTTACCATGACTGCGCTGATTAACTAATCGTCCATTACCAGCGAATGCCAGAACGATATGTGACCGTGACTGGCAGCATTTGGAATTTATTTCACCGTAAGTCGATCGTTGTGTAGCTATTAACATATCTAACCAAAAAAAGTTGTTTGATTTTGTTCAGTTTTTCCACAGATGTTCTTATCATTATAAAAGAGGTGACAGTTACTAGAACCTAATAGAACCTGACCTAACCTAACCTTACCTTTCTAGCCGGGGAGCTGACCCCACATCATATTAGATAGAAAGTACTTATCCAATCAGAGTGCACTGATGGTAAAATAGCATTAGTAGGAACTTAGCCGGTCATGGCACATAAATAGTTGAAGCGCAAACCAAAATCCTTGAGGTTAACGACCCAATCAGTGGCAAAGAGGATAAAGGAAAGAAATAAGTTTTCTTCTAGAGATTTTTGTTAGGTACAGTACAGTAAATGGTTAACTTAAACTTCTCTCATTTACTATTACATTAAATTCTTCTAAGAGAAAAGTTTTAGCATATATTTCACGGCCATCAATTGATAAATAAGCTTATCTTACTAAGCTTGACTTTTAGCTAACAGTTCTATACTATCCCACTGTTATATTTCACCTGATACTTTACTTTTATCCTCTTCGCCAAAATTTATGACCTTCATTATCTAAAGTCATTTCCTCCCAATTCATACCTTCCATAATAACTATTTAAACGTGAATACCTTAAATTGTATTAAATATTCATTGTGCTGAAGGAATTGGAGTTAAATGCTGATGTATTTGGTTGATCAGCTGACGGTCAGGCAGGGACGTCAGCTGCTCCCAGGCGACTGACACCTCACTCACACAATCTCCATAATTCTCAAATATTTACCCTAAAATCTCATAACCATAAACTATTATATTATATTCAATGTATATTTAAGTCATATATTATTGTTTTAAGTGTATATTAATTAACCCTAAGGAGTGTTTTAGTGAATAACGCTCCTAGTAGTTCATTCGTCCATTGTTTATGGTGTAAGATGAGGCCAACAGACACCCGCCAAATTTAAATACCTTCTCCTTTACTATTCTATTTTTAGTTCCCTTGTCTCTTTCAGGTTCTTATCAGACCTTTTCTATTATCTCAGTAAAAAAAAAAACTAAATCTAGAAGTTCCCAAAATGATTCGACTATATTTTACATGGTACTTTCACTTTGTCTTATATATTTAGTCTTCTGGCTCAATATATTTCATTACATATTTCTATTTATGTTGGTAACACATTCTTTATTTACTTTTTTGTTTAACTTATTGTTTCAGGGGTTGGGAAATCATTTTAAGTTCAGTATTGTATATCAGTACATTACTCAACATATATTGTTTAAAAGACAATGAATGGGTATATTTAGCATGCATATGTGACCTTCCATATTTGATGTCCCTGAATACTATACAGTTTAGTGTATAGTAAACTCTACTTTGAATACCACTACCATCTGATTTATTTGTTTATCCTCCTTACTCTTGGTTAGCTTACTAGCCAATCATGCATTCCGTTCACTGTAAGTTTGTCTGGTCTCGGAGGCTTTCTTATGTCTTTAAACTACTGTACTTTGCATTTCTTTAGAGGGCTCGTACATACAACAGCCCCAGATTTCATTGTATTGAATATATTATATTAGAGTACAGCTTTCACAAGTCCTCTCATTTATTTTATTTTTTTTTGCATTACAGTTATTTGAAGGCCTATTGGTGCATTGCAACTAAGATAAAACACATTTCTGTTTAGTCCCTGGGATATACAATACTACAGGGGGTCCCCAACTTACGAACGCCCGCCTATACGGAGTTAAACTTGAAATTTACAGTATTTTATTTACCCGATGACTTATTTCTTACTTTCATTTCCTGTATTTTGTCAATCCATTCCTTCTTTTGTCTATAAATTAGGTGATTTTAGATGTATATAAGGGCTTAGGCTATGATCTAGTGGAATTTTAAACATTGTTCTGTAAGAACAGTATGTACATAGAATGTGTTCCAACTTACGTACAAATCCAACTTAAGAACATCCACAGGGGCGGAACCCCTTCTTAATCCGGGGACCCCCTGTACTAAAGAGAGAATGTCCAAAGGAGGGCCACCGAACTGGTGCCAGCACCTCAAGTACCAAGAGAAATTAAAATATTTTCAATTGCTTATTTTATACCGTAGAAAGGCAAGGAGTGATTTAATAGAAGTTTACAAGTTCTTCAAAAGACATTAATCAGTCAAATGAGCCTCTGGAGCTAGATGATGGCCACCCAACTAAGGGCCACAGCTTCAAGTTGTAGAAGGTATCAGTACAGAAAATGGTCAGAACTAACTTCTTTGCAGTAGGGGTTGTGAACTTTGGAATAACCTGCCAGTGAACATTGTAACAGTATTGAGTGTGAGCTCATATTAGACCAGACATGACCATCACTGGCATATACAGAAGTCAGTTACATTCATGAGCCCATGTATACTCAGTACCTGCCAGCAGTGCATACAGAAAACAGTGGCTAGTGTGATGCCCAGGGACGAAGATGAGTAGCAAGACAGTGAATGGAGTAGTCAGTGTTTTAATTCTGGCCATTCTGCATCATAGGTGTAAAGGTCTGTAAGAGTGTAAAACAAAATCATATATATTGTACATAATACACTTGTATTATTTTTTGGTGCGTGTGTACTGGGGTATATGAGAATAATTTTAATTTCATCATTAACGAGGCTTATTAAAAGATATCGATCTTAATTCACTCAAATTTAATACAGTATTTACATTACTACTATGTACAGTATTAGACTATATATAGTATATTATACATGCATACAAATAAGGCAGAGTGAAATATTTCCTACAGAATCCAAAAATTAACAGTGATCACTTCAGAGTTGGACACACACTGATAATAAAAGGACAGCAGAAGTGTCACTGTACAGTATACAGTAACTACAGGTAATTATTTTCCTGTTAACAATTAGTCCAGGGATTAATGCCTCACTTACATTAAAAGGTAAAATTGGCAATTTAAATGCCTGTATTACACATCAGTCATAAAATAAAAGCCCTATATGTGGTATAACTTGTTTTTTTAAATACATTTGTGTAAAATCGGTCAAGCTATCAAAAACTAACCCACGAGATTCAAATGTTTTTTAAATGCATTAGTTATTGTATGGCGTTTCTACAAATAAAGAATGAATAAAATTGACAGCCATTAGCTTATAACATTACCTCAGCAACTGTTAAATATGTTACTGTATTAATATATTACTTATAAAATAATAAAAATAATAAATACTCTATTGTATTTTCACTCACTGGCTACTTTACTTGCTACCATCTTAACTATGGTCTGGAAAACAAGCCAAGCTACAAATGACTTGTTACATATAGTTGGATAACATTCATACAACTGGAGATGTCAATATATTACAATTAAAGTTAACAAAACACCATATAGATAAGTTAAAAATATCTCCCATGGGAGATATCGATTATAAACAATCTCTCTTAATATTATTGTTACTGAATCACACTACTGTATGTTATAGAAGTACAGTACAGTATGAGTATCATTCAGAGACAGAAGCAGGCCAGCTCTACACCTTTTACTTATTAAAGACAATTATATCAACTCTTGCTGAAGAATTACAATCTGGCGTCAGCCAACTTAGTTTATAGGGTCTGCCTCACACATTTGTCTATTTCATATATTAACTGAGATATTAATCAACTTAATTGATAATACAAAGCTGAAGGTACTTTTCATGGTAAAGTACTATACAGTATTACCATTGTATTAATGCTGTAATGCACAAAGAAAATGGTTTAAGTGCTTACAGTTTAATCAAGGGCATTCTTCCTACCACTTCCTCAAACAAGTTCTCCGATTTCAATGAGTGTACAGTACAGTTATGTATTTTATCAAAATAAATTCCCTACACTATTACAAAGTTCTGTACTCTTGCTATGTGCATAAAGTAGCAATATTTGTCAACAAGTGTCCATAACTATCACAAGTACTACTGGTAAGCTCTCTTCTTCTTACAGCCACTTACCTAACATCCCGTAGTTAACAATGAAGCTGTAGTTACGTAGACAGGAAATTCAGTTGAAAACAAACCATATTTATAAACATGTTGGACTTTTCCTTATTACGTGCAGCTGCTTTTAATTTGGGAGTGGTATTCTATTAAAATTAAAGTACTGTATTACACTACAGTACAAATTTATCAATATTTTGTTTCAAATTGTAAATGATATTCACTTCTTTTAAAAATAAACAAATATGCTCCAGTAATAAAGATGATCAATAAACTATTGAATATATTAGATATATTGTATACTGTAATGTGTACAGTATTTGATGCCTTAAGCTTATGCCTCAGCATCACAAAATAAAACAAACTACCAACAGATGTGAGAGCTGGATATTATCCCATTACTTTACTGTACAGTACTGGTGGTACAGCAGTAATGCACATATTTCTCACCACTGTGTCCTTGGTTCCAGTCCTACCCTGGGACAAATGTGGGAAGGGTGCTATTCAATGTGACCTTACCAAACATCAAAGGTTTTCTCTGAGTATTCCAGTTTCATCCTGGACAATAAATATCATAGCAAATTAACAAAGAACAGATCAATTGCCCAAATGGCTAGTAAGCTGATAAATAAAAAAATAAATTGAGAGTAGGCTATTGTCCTGTGTAGCACAATCATCAAAAACTATAGGAATACCATTTGTAGAAATCTAACATGGAGAGGCAACCACTGAAGAAAACTTGAGGTAAAAAGATATAACTCCATTGACTCATTTCCTTCATAAGCTGGAATTGTTACAGCATAAGTAAACAATCTGAGTTTGATGTGGTATTGCAAGAAAAATTAAGTGCATTAATAGCTTCATGCTCTTATGGAAGACAAAGAGGAAGCAACGAACAGTGCTGGAATAAGATGTATCACTGAAGAGCACACCCAGGATGACCGAGTCATTATTTAAAGTCAAACACCTTACTCTTATATCCATTCAATATAGGGTAACTGACTCACCTGAGGGCCAAACCTGTTTGAATAAGGCTAGTGCTTAAAGGCAAACTGGAGAATGTATATATGGCCAAGCAAAAACAATCTTTTAAAAGTAAAATGGATTTACCTGGATTTGAGGAGTAGTATTCTTCCCTTTTATATGCTGCACAGTCATATAGCACCATGGCCAATGTGCAGTCAAAGAGAAAGATATTATTAAAACAGCTTTCTCATACTGAATATCCCGTTCTTTCATCATTAACATTCTCTTTGGTCCTCTTATACTGTTACTGCCACAGTAAGATAAGCTAGAAGAGAGAGAAAGAGAGGGATAACCATAATAAGATAAATTGGGCGAGAGAGAGACAGAGAGGGGATGAGATAAGAGATATAGTGTTGACAACGAATTTGCTGACCAATCTGCTGAGGTGTTTCAATACGAAAACATATGGCCCTCGCCTCCGGGCTGAGATTGCCCTCGAGGGTAGTCTGCTGATTTCTACAGGGCAGACAACACGTTGGTTCAGACCACTAGACCCTAAAACGTGAGTGATCGTGAAGTATTAGAATCTGCTAAGAAACTCTAAATAACTTTAATAAGTATATTTGTGTACTGCAATTTGATCATATTATACCAATTGTCTCCTGTATCACTAGTTATAACATGCGAGTTATATTTAAGATGTTAACAGGCTATGTACTGTATATTGATTGTATTTCATAATATGTGTCCTGAGATAACAGCATTTGTTATATGAGAAATGTTCTTTAACAGGTTTTGACCGAATTATATGGTACGCGTCAACGTTGAGGGTTTATTTCTCCAGCAACAAACCAATAACGCTCCTATGAGCGTTAACATATACCATCAACCATCCTCTTAAGAATCCTCTACAACAAATGACTCAGTCCACCAAACTTTGTTCAAGACAATAATGTGTCAGCACACTTTCACTTTAATAACTTTCTTATCTTACTTTTCAAATGACACTTTCATCTCATTCTTCTTTTTCATAAATTTACTCTTCCTCAATAGTACTCTGATCCAAATACAGACAATATTGCATGTGTTATTAATCTATACTGCCCTCATATCTGATTTATCTGTACCCAGTAAATTAAGGTTTCACACCCAGAAAAAGGTCTGAGCCAGCAGTGCACTCTTGACATTAAACTTCTTATAAATTTCACTTAATATTCCTACCTAAGATGGCTACCGAGATCTGAACCAATTCCTTTCCAAACAAACCTCTTTCAATCCTTGATTCTTTTTAATTACTGTAGTAATGTACCTGTACCACTCTCTCCACCCTTCAAACTAGTAACATACTGGGACTGCCCTTCTCATTACAACAGGAGACTAACTCTCTACTCTTATTCTTCTTCTGTTACACACTTTACCTAAATAACTTGACTCTGTATTTAAAATATTCTGACTTGGCTAACAAAGCATCACTTACATACATCAGCTGTGATTAAATGCATTCTCTACCAACATGGACTAACCATAAGACATTTTTATCCCTTCTCACTCCCATCACACACAGCTCCGCCCATCAACACAAAATATACATGGCAATATGATTTATCAAAAACATACACTCACACCTTTCTCACACACTACATATACTCTGCTTCCTTTATACAAACTGTCAGTAGCTTTTCAATTGTTTCCCAAGCTCATTGTAACTGACTAAATCTGAAGTTTATTTCCACTGTCACAAAATATCTTTAGTATCATCCCCATCCCACTTCCTGTGAGAACTACTGGCAGGTGCAGAATCACCTACAGGATTTTGTTTAACATTACTGACGTTAGTGTTCTTCCGTAAAAATACAGGAAGAGATTCTTGATCCAGATGATGCATGTATGAGAGGAAAATTGTCCACAGGAAAGATGCCATAGAGACAACAACAACACGATTCTTCTCTGCCACATATGCAAAGTTGATTGTCTGTACCACTGGCCAGAAGCATACCCCAACCTGAGTGAGAGAACAACCAGAAGAGTCAATGACTGTGGTTCACTAAGATTGAGTCTGCCATAATAACAAAGTGTTAAAACAATTGCCCATTGTCTAAATGTGGGTCCAACCATTAATACCTTCATACACATTCTCTTGGCAAGAATGGTTTTCATCCCATATCTTAATACACTGTAGTACTGTACAGTATTTATAATAAAATACGTATGCCAACAGTTCACAGATGATTCAAAAGCTAAATTTCCTCTCACATGCATACAGTACTTTAAATACCAAAGATTTTCAACCCTACACATTTCATAAAAATTAATCAAACAATTTCTCCATATTAACGCCTAACTCTTACAGGACAATATACTTCAAATATACTAAGCTAAACAATCCTAGAGTTTTCTTGAGGCTGTCTCAAAGAAATAAAAATAAATCATGTACTGTACTATACAGTATAAAATAATACAGTATCCAGACAGTATACAAACAATATTTACAATAAAGCAATGGAAAATCTTTGAGTGCTGTACAGTATGTACTTTAATAAATGTGGATTTTTTTAACACCAAAATTTCCAGTTCCTGAAACATATCTAGAAAAATACACTGACAATTTCTGAATCATTTTCCACTTAGCTGAGTGATATCATTCTAATTTGGAAAGGTCAGTTTACATAGACAGTCATAAAATACACTATACTGTACTCATTTAACTGCAAATTTAACAGCTTTCTTCTATGCCTTGGCCTAGAATAAAAGGAACAGACAGCTGACCTACCTGTGCAAACAACATCCAGAAGAGGTTCAGTATTGGATTCAGTCTATCTTACCTGTTTGTCTCTCAGTCTTTCTGATAATATATACTGCATCTGGTAACTGTACTGCATTTGTTCTCCACCAGCTTACAGTTCAATGTCAGACTGGGGGTCACTAATGCTAAGGGGGAATACTCAACTCTAATCTTAATTTCTAAGGGTCGCTGCCACCAGACCCCCTCTGGACAGCATGTAGCTCGTTAGGTAGCATGCAGAGTGGACTAGGCATTGGGTTAGATTTTCCATTAACCAGATCGATAAGGGGAAAGAAGGGTGAAACCATAACATGTCTTAATTAATTTATTCCTTATAAAGCATACTGGTAAAAAACATACAAATGAATTGGTCTTCCTAAGAAGAACAACAAAAATGTTGGTTACCCAGATAAGCACCAGACGTCTTACATTAATGGCGTGTCATCCACATACTTATTGCATAACAATCTGTGACCACCTTACCTCGGTCATTCCTTCTTACACTACCCCTTAACACATCAGACTGCTCCACCTGTATGGAATATAGCACCGTCGGCAGATTCAGGTACATTCAGGAGCTGGTGCATGCCCAGTATTTGCCAACAGTGCGTGACAGAGACGTGACTGATCACCCGGGCGGCTAGCGAGCCGATCTTTTGGTGAAGAATATAAATGAAAAGAGACGTGACCAATCGCCCAAGTGGCTAACAAGCCGATCAGTGGCGAAGAGGATAAAAAAAAAAATAATAAAAATAATGGGGGTGGGTGGAGGGGTCGGGTCCACCCTTTTTTTTTGTGTGGGGGAGGGAGGGAACTCTAAGCCGCCCCCGATTTTTTTTAACCTGGCCAATATCATGGGCACTTTGAGGCCATTTTGAAACCATGTGCACTTGATATTAGGAAATATTCTGAAGTCAATAGTAAATACTTTTTACTATACAAAAATGCCTGAGTACAATACTATATTAAATAAAAAGTACTGTATTGACATTTTCTGGTGAAAAGAGGGGGCGTCCAGACACCACCCCCCCCCCCCCCCCCTGGATCCACCCTTGAACATGGTATAATAATTCAAACTGTGGTGAAAGTAGGCAAGATAAAAATACCTTCCAGGTTGGTATGAGTTTTTCCCTCCATTCCTGTACACATTCAGCCCATGGGAGCCCCTCCAGCAAGGTGATGCCCAGGTAGAACTGTGTTTGAGCCGCAGGTGCAAAGAGAATCTGCTCCAAGCCAGCCTAAAACAATGAAATACTGTACAGTAATTACTTCACAACAACACATTTACCATCTCTCCATTTATCTTCACAATCAGAAAATGTAAAAGTGACAGGAAATTCCTAAAAGTTAATAAAGTATGATAAAAATGTATTTGAGTATGATAGACCACACTAACTCTGCCATGATAAATTATACAGGTAACTAGTTTTCTATTTTATAATGAACATAACAAGTACTATACTGTACAAGATTTCACAATCACAATCCACAACAAAGCTATATCCTGAGAAAAGCCTTAAACATTAATCATTCAAGCAACTGGACTTACAATGGTCTGTACTGAACAGGGATTCTATTACCAACTATCATATCTCTCACACTACTTTACCGTATGTTGGTACAGTACAGCTCCACTTATCTGTACTGTACTTAATTCATGTATAAATACTCCCAAATAATGTCATACAGTACTTATTTCTGGCCTCCTTCAATATTGTAACACCATCAGTATCATTTACAGTATCCTACTTTCATACACACATACAATTCTTTGTAACTTGTCTTTTTCTGATGCACTCTGATTACACCAATTGCTCAATAAATTTTAACTAAAACAAATTCTCTGAATACCAACTACTGTACTCTCAATATAATACTGTATAGTATTTTTTCCCTGTATATATTAGTAGTGTAGGAAGATTAAGAGATCAGTCCATCTAAAATAATACTGTGCATAATATCAGTCCTGTGTCAAGCACATGGTGGCATTGTGTTGGTAAGAGCGGGAAGGAAACTAAATACCAGGGTTGGATCAAATACTGATTTTTAGCGGTCAAATACAAATACTTGTGACATTATGATGCAAAAATACAAATACAAATACATGTACTGTACAAATACTTTTATTCCTTAATTCAAAAATACAAATACTTCTGAAATTAAGATGTAAAAATACAAATACAAATACTTTTATTTCCAAGTTCAAAAATACAAACCCAATACCTACATATCAGAATTACATTTTATCATCATTAATGCCCGGAAGATTTCTGGGCTCAACTTAGCTCGCTCAGGAGTGTAAAAATTACCAGAATGTTCAGCGTTACTGCTTGCAGAAAACAATAGCAGTAATAAAAATAAACAAAATTACAAAATTACAAAATAAAAAAAATTCAAGTGTTTTCGTCCTCACAAATTGTCTGTAAGTAGCAATGCAAAATATCAAATTTTCCTTTGTTTATGGAAGAGGCAAAAGGCAGTAGCCTTGTAGTGGATTTATCCCCAACAAACGCTGTTTGTCGCTGAGTAGCCGACCCCGCGAATTCCCCAGTGTATGCCTCGTGGTCTAGGTCAACCAGCGCCGCCTTACATGACGGAGGTCAACTATTAAGCCACGCCTACCTCCGCTATATAAGACCTGACCTCGAGGTAACCTACCTCTCTCTTCCTTTTCTAGCTACAGCCGCAGCAAGCAACACCACCTCCTCCGCTGCTGCCTGGCGGCCCTCGCTCCCGCCGGCGAGCATGGCGACCCACAAGCTGTCCTCCTCTGAGCACCCTCACCAACCAGCTCTCTCTACTCAACGCTTGTAACCATGCTGCCTTCCCAACACCAAGCTGTATTGTACATCCAATACAATATGTATACAGAGAGCACATTGTGAGTTTCCTTTCTCCATCCCATCCTGAGTGTGAACCCAAACATTCCGTACCCCACAGCCTTAAACTAGCCTACTGCCTGTAACACTAATAAGTGTCAAAATACAAATACAAAATACTTTTTCTTCTGGATGCCAAAATACAATTACAAATACATTGAAAATGTATTTAAATACAATTAAAATACAAATACAATTGTATTTGATCCACCCCTGCTAAATACTGTACTGTTGGGTTTTCATTCAAAGTGTAATACCTGTACAGTACTTGTTCCATTCAATAACTATGCAATTTTACAATAAACAGGACTCAAAACTAACATTCTAAGTGAATTTCCAATTCATTATGTAGTACTTTTGGTAGTCCAGGAAAACATTTTTATCACATTGCAGGGATGATGAAAGAAGTCTATAATAGTGGACAGGTTTTACATGCATTAGTTTGGTATTCAGAGGTTTTACTATTCAGTACAGCACTGTACTTTTGTTTTCTATAAACCACTTGGAGTATTCTATTGAGGACTCATTTCTCACAAACAATTAGCAATGTGAGTAAACAAATAATTACAGCATAACATTCTATTCAAACTTTCTGCATTCTTAGTTATTGAGGTATTGTAATGTGATTCATACATCATTCTTTCATTGGATGTTTATACTATGGTAAAAATGCTCACCTTCATGACAGCATGCCTGAGAGTGTTGCCTCTGATGATCTTACTGGCCAGCTTCACCCACACATACACTGTTGGGGCTGTGCCAAATGTCCCAAAAATGAGATATCTTAGAGATTCTATTGGGTCGTACCTATCTCGAGTTTTATCAAGGGATTGCTGCACCACGTTGGATGTTGGCCACAACACAGAGTAGGTCACCATCCCACGCAATACAGGGTATTGCTCTCCTACTTTTCTGATGACCTTTAATAGTTTTGCCATTGTATCAAATCTCTATGAGAACACTTCCTCAATTACAAGAACCCCTTTGTTGATGAAGTTAATATATTTACAAAGGAAAGCAAGAAAAATAAGGAAGAATTTTTATAAAGATTTTGAAAATTCACATTGAGTGATTATAAGCAATGAAATCATATGCAGTCTTTAATGTTCTACGGAACATCTTTTCTTTCACAGTCCATGGAAGAATTGTGAAAGTCTCACTTTTCCCTGGAAAATATTAACAAGATGAGACAAGAACACTACAGAAGCCAAATACTGTACAGCACACAGGCACAAAGTTCAGGAGTGATTGGTCAACTGTGCCACAGTCCAGATGGGCCCCAAGGTCCATCCATTCCTAATGAGCCTCAGTCCTAATAGTTAGGTTAGGTAAGGCTGGGTGCTGTTAGGATTGGGGCCCATATGAACTGCAATCAGTTTGGGGGGGAAGATGTGTAAAATAGTAATCCCCAACTACAGAAAGACTTATCATTTAAATATTCAGGGCAAACAAATACTAGCATGCCTATACTGTAATTCCTACTGTGTTTATTTCTTTATTGGCAATATAAAAAACTGGAGTGCCCTTGTGGACATGAAATGCTTTAATAACATATATTTTACCCAATAGTACGGAACCAATCCATAAAATCTAGAACTGCGGGTGAAAATTCAATACTATACACATACTCTAATCCCGTGTTTTTTTGCGTTATATATATATATATATATATATATATATATATATATATATATATATATATATATATATATATATATATATATATATATATATATATATATATATATATATATATATATATATATATATTCTTCCACAAAAATATTACCGGATATATTAAGTTGGGTTCCAAACTATCCTAGCCTGAGTCTAGAGCCTAGGTGCCGTGTCTATAGAAGCCACTCCAGTCACAAGATCTTGATGTAGATTCACAAGTACAGGAACACTACTGGACTATACTGTAGTACTATACTTAATTTGGGTTTCTGAAATTCTGGCAGTTTTCAATTAAGTATGAATTGCTCGGATATAAGAGGCATTGGAGATCAACCAATAATGTACACATAAACAAGTTAAGATATGTACAGTATTGTAAATACAGTATATGGTGTACTGTACCTGTATGAGGAGAGAACATAAGAAAAGACCACCTCAGTTACCAAGAGAGATTAGAACACCTGCAACAGCCTAGCTTATACTGTAGACAGGCAAGGGGTGATTTACAAACATTTCAGAGGACATTACTCAAAGAGTGTATATACCTGGAGCTGGTGGACGCCCGCCCCACAAGGAGTCGCAGCTCAAGGTTGAAGAAGCCACAAGTTCAGAAAACTATGAGGGTAAACTTTTTTGGAGTGAGAGTTGTGAACTCTTGGAACAATCTGCCAGAGAGTGTTGTGACGGCACCGAGTGTGAGCTCTTTCAAGACCAGACTTGACCAACACTGGAGCAGGTTCAAGTACATTCAGGAGTCAGTGCACGTCCAGTACAGTACTTGGCTACAGTGTGTAACAGAGACGTGACCAACCTACCAAGCGGCTAACAAGCAGATCAGTGGAGAAGAGGAAAAAAGTAAAAGTATAAGAAGTAACTGAAAGAGGCAACATTTACTAGAACCTGACCTAACCAGCCAAATAAACCTACCTAACCTTACCTAACTTCCTAGCCCCCAGACCCTCCCACCATCATTGTGTAATTTTATGTTTTTTGTGGATGTGAGAGTACGCTTCAAATGAGCGAATCAGCTGTACACGAACAAGCAGATGACAACACACACTGACTCGGCATATTTTTCAAAGAAGTATTTCCGGTAAATAATTAATTTCTTCACGTACAAAGCACATAGACGTCATTTTGGTGTCCTGTGATTAGTTCTCACAATTTTCCTCGTCCTTCATGCCCTGCCCACTGCAGGTGATTTATGATCACAGAGAAAAAATAGAAAATATCTATAATTAAAAAAAGGTGTTGCCTCTTTTAAAATACATACTATAATAGTAAGCTCATGTGGAAAAAAAATGAACGAAATCAAATAATTGCTTCTGGTGGTACAGTACCAGTTTCCTTATAAATTACAATTATTTCGGTAATTATTAACAACTGACCTGCCGCCAATTTTTCATAGAAAACAAATTTAAAAATGCTTCAATTTCACTGTGTTTGTGGACAGTTGTAGTTTTGGCAAATGTGCTAAAAAGTGGTTATTTCTAAATTAAACCTAACCTCAGTTGATAAGAAAACAAGTGGCAAAAGTGTTATTAGAAGAGCTCACCAACCTAACCAAAGAAACTTAAATAACCTTAACTAACTTCCTAGCTGTGAGGCCCCAGCATATTAAACAGAAAGAACTTACGATGACATGGTATAATTTTATGTTTTTTTTTTGGACGTGAGAGCAGCCACCCGGACAATATGGCTCATAAACATACACTGGCGACTGGAGTAAATCAGAAATGATTGGCCGTGTACCATCTCATCACCGCCAAGAAAGACAAAGTGGTGTGCCCAGTTACCGGTATTATTTTACTTTCGGAGATAGTGAGCCCGAGAGATATAAACTACTGAAACATTTAGAACTCCCTTTTCTGAGCATTTTGAACCCCATATATATACCAGGCAGAAATGGATAAAAGCGACAATTTAATTGATTTTACATAGTTTTCAAGTCATCATCTGTGAGGAGATGTTAACGGCGTATCACGCATGCGCAATATTGACTGACGTCATCCAGTCGTGACCAATGATGTTTCGATATTCTCATGCAAATTTTTTCGACCAATCACATTTCATTGACCAGTCTCACAATGGCTGTGGTGGAGGTTGGTTGTCATTTGTGGTCCTCCGATTATTTTAAGATTATTGCTGAGTTTTACAAGAAAGACGATCATTCTATCCAATTCTTACATATCCCTGGTCCTTTCACTTCTAACTAAGGTATTGTACTTTGGGACATGGCGTGCCCCAAGGTTTTCAACTATTGAAACATTTAGTTTAGTTTAAGCTAGGCCAACCAGGGGTCCGGGGAGGGAGCCCCTGGCTAGGGGGTTAGGTTAGGTTTTGCTTGGTTAGATGACTTGTTTTCTCCCCCACCCAAAAATCCCATTTCTCAGGCTCTCCCCCATTATTGTTTGGGGGGGGGGGCCAAAAACAAGCAATTTCCACCAAAAAATGAAGGTCAGATTCGTTTAAAACACACCAAAATACACTGTAAAAATATATTGGTCAACCCCAAGGGACTCATGTCAGATCAGTAGTGAAGAGAATTAAAGTAAAAAGTAATTATTTAGCAAAGGAACCACTTTCCCTCCAAAAGATTATCATATCAGTACTCACTATTGAAAATATCGTAAAAATATAAACATCAAAACAAATAACGCGTTGCCGAATCAGTCGTCAATAATAGCCACTATTTCTTAATGTAAACTAGTAGGAATAAATGGCTCTGGTCATTTAGTCTATTAACAGAGACATTAGGCAAAATCATCGGTAATTTTTTACAAGTGGACAGCCATGAATTTTTTGTTGAGCAAAGCCTAATCTAACCTAACCTAAAATTACATTGATTGCCAAGAAAAAAAATCACGAGGTTCGTTGGTTGTCTACTTGTAAAAAAAATAACAAAACATCATAATATTTTGGTATATACAGTCCTATACTTAGCACAGGTATACAAACAGCAGTAAGTCAACCAATGTTAGCCAGAGACATGTTGAAAACTTACATAGATACCAGGAACAAATAAATACATAGTCAACTGCTTACACCCTGAAACCAAGTTAACACTAGCGTATTTTTTTGTTTTAAGTGGGGTTGTAGTAACTCCAGCAGATAACAATACAACAATAAACAGTAACACGACACTTTTTTTTAATACTTTAGTTGTTGCTTGATGTGGACAAAGTATTATCTGGAGTGGACCATTACACCAGCCCACCTTACCCAGCACGCCACTACTGTATGACGCAAGCGCCCATTATCAGTTGCATAATGAACACTGAAAACAGAAACTCAGGGAAATCAGTAAAACTAGCTTTATCTAATATTTTTTTCTACCATTTTAACTACTAACAAAAATAAGCTTTCCTAGTGTATTTTGTGTTGTTTCAATAGAATCTGACCTTCATTTCTGGTCAGAAATGAGTAACTGATCTTTTTAATTGTTTTGTTTGTTCTTACTTGTATGCTTTTCATCCTTTTCACCACTGATCGGCTCGTTAGCCGCTTGGGCGATTGGTCACGTCTCTGTTACACACTGTTGACAGGTATTGGGCATGCTCTGGCCCCTGAATTTATGTTCTGAACCTGCTCCAGTGCTTGTCAAGTCTGGTCTTGAAACAGCTCATACTCAGTGTCGTCACAACACTGTCAGATTGTTCCAAGAGTTCACAGCTCTCACTCAGAAAAAGTTACCCCTCACAGATTTTTTTGTTTAGATTTCCCCCGAGTTGGCTAGTTTATTGGGCACCCCCTTACATCCTGTGCAAGGTGCAGCACAGAAGCGTTTACAGCGCCCATCTGGGAAGCATGCTAAGTTCGTGCTTGTCTTTATGACTCAAGCATTAAGGGCGTAAAAGCCTGAAGGGTCATGGGTTTTATCAGCAAGTTACATAAAGTGACAGAATGGTGAGTGTGTGAGGGAAAATTCCCGGTACAATTTATCTGTTTATGGCAAAGTGTGGCAGGTCCCTAATAATGTCAAGTGTCAGGCCTGTCACTGGGAGGAGGGATATCTGGTCAGGGAGGGAAGAGGTGTTGGTAACGGCTGGGGACCTGTAGGAGGAGGTCATAGGGCAAGTGAGGGTGTAGTGAGAGAGGGTGTGAGAGTCTGGTTAACCACAAAGTTTACAAACAGTGTGGCCAGGCTCAGGGTTGCCATTGTATTAGGCGTGGCGAAGTACAGTGGGGGTGGAGGTGATATGGTGTGGTGGGACAGGTACAGTAGGGGTGGAGGGAGGTACACAGGCATTGACAATATTGAGGGACATACCTTTTAGTGTGATTGTGATGGCATGTGTGTCGACACGCCGGTGGGGTTCGGGTAGCCGGGGGTGGTGTCCTCAGGTCCAATAGACCTGGTGGAGACAGCACAGACACAGGAGTGGGCGCGGCTTGCGGTGGGTGGACAGATTGAGGCACCACGTGTCTTGAAGACCTCACAGTTTTCTCGGCTTGCAGCTTCTTCAACCTTTAGCTGTGACCCCTTGTGGGGCGAGCGTTCATCAGCTCGTCTGTAGTATAAGCTAGGCAATTTCAGGCTCTCTAATCTCTCAGGGTAGCTGAGGTACCGTAGTGCTGTACTGACCACGGTCGTACACGTTAGTTAACGTAAAATCAGAAGATTCATATTGCGCTCAACAGCCCATAAAACATGTAGCTATAACTTCTTTATTGAGTCCCCCAGTTGAGACGCACCTAGCTTCAGGACGCCTATGTCCTCCATTTTCTGTCAAGTAGTACCTCCGAGACTCTGATATTTCTTAATACCTCATATCGTGTTCAGAGATTTGAAATTAAGAGAACTCAATTGTTTTGCGTCAAATTAGATATGTCTGATTACAGATGAAACATTCAAGATCCCTTGTGAGTGATGTTGAAAGCTTCAACTGTATTTACTGTTTGTGAAACTTGCTGATAAGTCAGTGTAGAGTCTACCAGTAGAAGTGACGAAGCCCTAACATCGCCCACAGGGACGCTCTGAGTGCCAAACTGATACTGAAGTTAGATAATTTTGATTCCCAATCATCAGAGAAAGTGATGTTTGTATTGAAATTTTAGAAAGTAATTAATCTCCTGAAAAGAATATGTTAGTCTTCTTATCTCCAAGATCTAAGGGCAAAATCTCAAAAGGCCCTTTTCTGTATTTCTGCTGAGGTCGAAAGAAAGACGTTACCAGTTTGTGTGTTTAACGTCCATTTCAATATTGCCTGGCAAGCTCAACCTCTGATTCAATATCACGAAGTGTAAGAGGATGCACCTGGGGTGTACCAACGGTAAGGAAGCGTATCACATGTCCCAACGGGATGAAGAAACTGCACTATTTGAGACTGAATGTGAGAAGGACCTAGGTGTGTATGTTGACAATGAGCTGAAGTTCTCGGGCCATTGCGAGAAAAAGGTAAATCAGGCAAATAAATTATTGGGTCTTATAAGAAGGCCGTTCAGATATCTAGGCGGTCCTTCCCTCGTAACGATCTTCAAGAGTGAAATGCTTCCCCATCTGGTCCCCGAGATATGCTAGGGACTGTCAGTTGGTTAAAATGTTCGAAGGAGGGCCACCAGACTGGTGCCTGCACTTCGGCACCCCAGCTACCCTGAGAGATTGGAACGCCTGAACTTGCCTAGCTTATACTACAGACAGGCAAGGGGAGACCTAATTGAGGTGTATAAGCATGTCAAGGGGCACTACTCAGTCGAGTGTCCTTACGTGGAGCTGGTGGACGCTCGCCCCACAAGGGGTCACAGCTCAAGATTGAAGAAGCCGCAAGTCCAGAAAACTGTGAGGGCAAACTTTTTCGGAGTGAGAGTTGTGAACTCTTGGTACAATCTACCAGAAAGTGTTGTGACGGCACCGAGTGTGAGCTCTTTCAAGACAAGACTTGACCAACACTGGAGCAGGTTCAGGTTCATTCAGGAGCCGGTGCATGCCCAGTACTTGCCAACAGTGCGTAACAGAGACGTGACCGATCACCCAAACGGCTAACGACCCGATCATTTGGTGAAGAGGATAAAAGAATAGACGTAAGAAATTCATCTGACCCATGACACCAATTTTCATAGCCAAATGTACAGCAACCGATTTAAATAAAATTTATGTCAATGCATGAATTGCCCTTTTTGGCATGCCTGAGTTGCCAGTTAGCCCGTATATAATCATGTGCACGAGGAAGCGTGACACTCATGTGACGTCCTTCCTCGTCTCTAAGGTGTCTCATGCCCGCCATATTAAGTCGGTTTAACCCAGTTGAATTTTGTGAATATCAGTGTCATGTTTTAACAGTGAAATCCTCATGTGCCATATAAGGATTAACGTAACATAAATATCGTCTGTGCCAATGCCAGACATATGATTGTGTGTAATTGAGTTTAGACTTTTAAGACTCTTGTGACGTCCCTCATCTCTCAGGCACTGTGTTCTTGCTGAATACCCGCAACTACGGGGGATCAGTAGCTGCCCACCAGCGAGGTGTCCCAAGGAGGATGTTTCCAATTCAGCAGGATATATCAGAGAGTGACGCGTGGGAGATGAGTTTTCTAGCCGTGCGTCAGAGTTCAACCGATGCTAATAGCACGCAACATTTGTTGTAAACACAAGTGAATGACCCTGGTGTACTAAAATCAGTTATATGTGCAAAGTAATATTGTACATGATTGGGGATAATTAGCAAATATAATTGTCCCAAGTTGAGTATTGAGACCATAAATATTGATATTACCTGTATTAAAGTTTATGTGCATTGTGAGTAAACCATCAATGTATACTCCCAACCAAGTCCTGGTACGGGTTCCATGTTGTCCATTCCAAAATAACATGTTTTAATTAATGTAGTAATATCTGTGCTATTGACAAGTGTGTAAAATAACCATCTTTATTTTCAAAGAAATAATATAACAGCTGTTTGGTGTTGTAACAAAGAATTGAAGATCTATTTTGTTACTTATAAAGTAAGAGCTAATGGTCCATTCTTGTCTGAGTGTGTATAAATTGTCATCTTATTCACTTCTGATTTCAATAAATATTTAGTAAATTGTGGGTATCACCGCTATTTTCCTTCTAATAATTGCTTCTCAGATAATAATTACTTTTATTTTCCTAGACCAGTTTTTTTTACAGCAAATGCTTAGTTTCCGAGTTATAGCAGATTTAAATACGAGCACCATAAGCCACGTACCTAGCGAAGTTGCAGCCGTGTTTTATATGATTAGGCTGTGGTACATTAGAATTCTTATCCGGGTACTCGGATATAGTATCAGTAAAAACACGAAAACCAAACATTTGCATATTGAAATGAAAAGAAAAACTTATCTAAAAAAAATTGGTAATCCTGGAGGAGATACAGGTAACACCAGAATCCATAAATCCTATGGAAATTTTTTGCAGCCCAAAAATATAACAAGCACAAATATGAAAGACAAGACACCTACATCAATTCATTCTTGTTGTAACATGACAATAAATGCACACACTTGAATTTAGCTCACCAGAAACTATGTCGAGTGCTGCAGGAGGTGGTGCAATCGGAGTTACTGGGAATTACCTCCTTAAACCATCTTTTTTTTTGTCCAATGCAATTCCTTTATTATCATCACCACTGCTTTCACTTGAACTTGATGGTCTTTTCCACTCATCTTGAATAAGGGTACACAGTAACACCGATGCCTAAATAAACACAAACTGGGGAAAGAATTCAAACTGAGCAGCACCATTATTGTGGTGGATGCTGAGCCGCCTTCCCACCATTTTATAGCTACCACCAAGAATCCACAGAAATAAATTTTACAATTTCGGCGAATTTGTTTTGGTCATGATTTCAAAATTCTAATTATGGAGAATTTCATTAACCCTTACTATAATTACCTTTCAAGCGGGATAAATAACACACATTGTAAATAAGAATTTGTATTTCAAAGATTAATTATAAATGAAACTCTCATCATTGGCACAGAAGCTATAATTCACTACCATTCCAGATGGTCCACAAAGTTTTGTGTACTGGCTCCAAGTAAGAAAATATGTCATAGTAATGGGAAAATTGACATGGGACACATTTCCCCAACAATGAATATTTGACAACATAACCTTCACTGCTCACCAAAGACTATATAAGAATGAGGGGAATGCAAGGCAAAAACTGCATAAGCCACAGCATACAGTTGGTCACGGGACATTTAACCATGAGTGGGGGTCACCATCACCCATGTGCTGTATGCACACGTACAAAAACGGATCACCAAGCTCATGTTTCATGTTGCTATATATCATTGATCGTATAGAATGTACTGTGCAATATTGTATGTGAGTGCATGTGTACGCATTAAGGACGTCAAGGCAAAGACATCAAGGTAATATCAGCTCACTCTGCTGGTTACCATGGAAACGCTACCCGGGCTTTTAGTTAGCCGCGTTGCCAACAGATGGCATTGATCGGAGCACAGTGGCTCACGTTTTTTTTATCAATAAAGGTAAACGCTTTCCCGTCTTTCTTATATAGTGTTTGACTGCTCACCAGCACCTGTCTTGGCCACATCATTAATCTGACATGTTTATGCATGTTTCACACGTTTTACAAATACTGTAAAGGCAAAGATAAATCTCATTATCTTGCAAAAAGATTGTGATTCCCCAGAACACAGGTATGAACATACCAAGTAGGTAATACAAATAAATCAAGGCCTAAATTCACCAAATTTAGTTTTAGAACAATTTACTTAATCACAAATATGCACAAGATAACTGCTTACAACCAAATTCCTGAACATATGTTAAAGGTACAATTTTACAATGCAGGATACAGCAGCAGTGATGAAAATGAAACAATGATCTTTGGAAAGCTTAAGGAATATGAGCTCTGATACCCCAATAGGATTTTACAGACCAATAAACTACCAGTAAATGAAAATGGTGCGAGGAAAAAAAAGAAATCAATTGCAAACTGCAATTTAGTATAAAAATGATGGATACATATGTGTATACTTGCACGCAATGATTGTTATAAAATAATTTAATAAATATTCCTGGACATCAGTACATGTCTATAACATGTCACTTTCTAAACATATTGACCTGAGAAGCAACCAGCAAAAAGAAAATTCTATGTTGGTCACTATATACTGTACTGTACACTCAATTCCTTGCTGATAAATATGCACAGTCTCATAAGTAGGTACAGTGTGCTATTTAATGCCTTAACTTGCCTACACATGAGATGGGTTGAGCAGAGGAAGCAATGTACTGTACTAGTATTATACTTAAGAGAATACTGGCTATTTGGTCATCTTGTTAAGTTTTATGATCCGAGATCTTCAGATACAGCACATGTGTCATTAACCCGACTTCCTGCCAAAGTTACTAAATTCTGGTTACTGTACTTTTAATACAAATAATACATGAATTGAGCTATTACAAGAAATAAAACAACCAGAACCAAGATCCAGCAGTAATTTTGGCTCAGACAATTAATTACACTACTGACTAAAACGGTTAGTCACTGAGAGGCAGTAACTGTTTGCCGAGTGGGCTGCTGGATTATCACACAGCGAAGGATTTTATGAATGACTTCCAAGCGACGATGTAATGAGGTCTCGCGTAAGATGGATAACTGTGGATAAAAAATCTAATAAGACAATCTTACAGCAGAAGAGTTGTTAAGATAACCAGTTGCTAATATTTTCTATTTCATTGCATAAAATTCACAAGTAGTACTATATGAAAATAAAAAAAGGTGCCAATAATAATAAAATAAATTAATAAAGCCCATTTTACCTGGATCCGTGAGTCGAGAGGAAGAATGGCCACAATCCACCACATCCAAGCAGGGCCATTAGGTATTGTCCAGTATTCTCCCTCAAGAGATGGCATAGGGCCATAGTGACTGAGGATTCGTCTCTTTGTCATAGACTCAATGGATTCAAACCAGCATGAAGCAAGTTGATGTACATTGTCATGCAAGCGTCGAATCTCACCCAAACTGTTTGTAGGTACAGTATCATCCTGCAATGACGATACAGGTATAAGGTTAATATCTCCAAAATGGAAATTTGATGCAATAACATGTTGATAGACTTTAAATAAAAAGAATGCTACTGACAGTAATGTTATGACTTCAACAATTATCAAATACACAAAATTTATACTTTGTTAAACTTGTGTTAATGCTGGGCTTAAAAACTTGTGTATTGCCCTTCTTACCTTCCACTAAACTATTATAAGTCAGGCAGACATTCATCAAGTGTGCCATGGGTTAAATTTAAAAAAAATATTTTAATATCCTTTTCATCACATTTAGTTTGCTTAGGACCTATTCACTATATCGTATCCTGAACCTAATCAATTCCCTAGACACTGATAACAACGCATGTTATTGTCTTCCATTTTGGATACTTAACCCTCTCATGCACACAATAAATTTTTAAGTTTCTGTGACAACGACAAAGTCATATGGGACCACTCACATGATGTCTGGTCATCTTCATTCTGCAGCCAATTTATCCCACAAGAATTATTTTTTGGCATGATTTATACATCACAGGCTTTATTATTGTTTTGGCTTTAAAATAAGCAGAACAAAAATAAAGACATGAATTAGACATTTTTCATTCTGAATAAAGAAAAAAATTATTTGTTCCCAGCATCATATCTTGGGAGATTTTGTCATAAACCTACCAAGTGTATCACAGTTATAAGAGTGGAATTTTACGAGCTTTCAAATGGTGGCTTTGGAATTTTGATATAACTAAAAGTGGGAGAGATACAGGGATAAACGTAATCTACCAGCACAGCTCACGTGAGGAAACTGATGGACAGCAGAGCTCCACTCACACTTTGGTACTTTGTAGAAGCTTTCCTCACAAGATAATGCAATCATCTATGACGCACGAAAATTTGACAATTATTTTGAAAACTTTTTTCGGGGAGGGAGGATTTTTAAAAGGTTAATGACCCGATATTACATCAATGCAAATGGTGCTACCCAATGATTGATGTGATTTGTGCCATTATGTGTGAGAGGGTTAATTTCAAATTAATGTAGGATAAGAACATGATCATAAAGCAAACTTTTAGCACATTCTACTCCAGATTTTTTTATTCCAAGGCACCAAAGCTCTCTTTTCCCTTCCAATTATTTCCATATACAGGGTATTATGTTTATTAAAAAAAAAAAAAAAAAAAACGGATAAAGAACAACAAACTATAACCGTCTCCTCCTCTGCAGTGCACAAAATCTTACAGTATGAACATGAGCAAAACTATCAAATATGGTTGGAATTTGCCAATATGTAAACCTTTTCACTACAGTATGCAGTCTACTGGGATATTTGCAATCTAGTACACAGTCTACCAAGCTTTAGTTGGTTTACCAGGATATTTATACGTACTGTAGCATCCAATAACCTCACCTTGGTTAGGTGAGGTGAGGTTTAATTAGGTTACAGTGTTTAGTCAGGTTAGGTTAAACTAATCTAGGTTACATTACATTAGGTTATGGTAATTTAGGCTAAGTAAAGTTAGGATAGGCTAAGTTAGAGTAGGTTAAGTTAGGTAAGGATAATGGACACTACAGAGTAAATATCCCGGAAGACCAACTCCAGCTTGGTAGACTGTATACTAAAGTAGCACCACATATTCATCCCATTGTTGGTGCTTAACTGCTTTATTCCAAATTAAAAAAATCTAAACTTAAAACTAATTTGTACAAACCTGGAGATATTCCACAGCTGCAGTGTTATATCCATCTTTGGCACTTTTGCTGACAATTTGAAAGCGTCTTGAACCCACAGTGTTGACAATGGACCGACCGTCCTGTGTGTATTCTACATCTCTGATCTCAAGCATGGTCCCAAAATCAGCATAACTAAAAACAATATGACAAAATACATTAGTTTCATGGATAGTTCATAAAGTTTCTGCCAAGTATAAAAACAAATGACTTGTTATTTATTTAAGGTGTTTAAAGTTAAAGACTAATCCCTTAGTTTACAAGAAAGACCCACGACACTACTATTACTGGACTTGGAAACTGGTTTGTGTTTATCGTAAAGTTATTAAAACGTCTCCCGAGTTAAATACTATATATGATTTGTATTGCCATTGCAAAATTTTAAAACTTCTGGAAGACTTTATAATAGATCAAATATAATTGTCAGTGTGATGTTTATCACACTGGAGTGAACATCTGCCTCTTAGCTGTGAGTACAGTAATCAACATATAATAATTAACCGAAATTGAATGACAAAAATATTGTAAATGCTTCCACTGTTCTCTCAAGCTTTAGGAAAAACTTTTTTCTTAGCATAGCATCACTTTCTAAATATTCAATTCAAATAAAAGCAAAAAATTATTACTATATGGAACTCACCCATTTTCTGCATTCTCCATGGGCATGCACATCCCAAACTCCCGGGTACCAGATTCCATACACCGTCTTATCATCAATCGATATCTGGGCTCAAACACATGTAAGGGACAGGAGATTGTTGGTATGCCTAAAGTTGCAATGAATATGGGAATTTCATGGTGAGGATCTTTGCCAGCAGCAGCTAGCTCATCCATCTCTTCTTCGTGTTGCCGTTGCCGATCTACACAATCATTTGCCATGACAGTTTGCATGGCCACCTCAATGAATTCTGTAACTGCAGACCGCCGCTCTGCCAAATACTGTAAGAGATCAAAATTAATATTAGGTAATAATATAATTATGAATGAAGGTTCTAAATAGATTAACTTTATTTCTCTATTATGCAAGACTTTTATCACTCGGTACAATGGCCAAGAAAATAGAATTGATGAATATCAGCATATTTTGACACATACCACTCTAATTGATGTTTTGCAGAGGGGGCAATTTGTGGAGTGGTCAAGACAGCGGTCCAAGCAGGTACGGCAAAATGAATGACCACAGGGAGTTGTAACAGGCTGGTACAGGTAACGAAAACACAGTGTGCATTCAAAATCATTCTTCTCAAAATTGCTTGGATCAACATGACGAACATAACCAGTCCTAACTTCTGAAAAATAAAAACAAGTCAGATGTGCAAACTGGATATATTATAATATATATATATATATATATATATATATATATATATATATATATATATATATATATATATATATATATATATATATATATATATATATATATATATATATATAAATCGGAAAAGGAAACAGAGCACCGCTGTTTCCCTTTTCATTTTAAAGATTTATCTTATCACGTTTTCATTGTGGATCTACATGAAATATATATATATATATATATATATATATATATATATATATATATATATATATATATATATATATATATATATATATATATATATATATATATATATATATATATATATATATATATATATATATATATATATAAATCACCTAACTGGGTTGAATAATCAAAGATAATGATTAATTTCTGTGTCAAAAGTAGAAATGATAATTGCTAAATATACTGTACTGTATAACAATTTAATGCAGTGAAAGGATAAGCTAGAAAATCTCAAGACACATACTATACTGTACTTAAGGATAGTTCAATAAAAACAACTAAAGTATTATCTGTTACTCTGGTCCAGGGTGGTATTACCTGTCATTAGTGTTTAATCCGGAGTCCCTGGATTAAACACGAATGAGAGGTACTACACAAGGCACTAAGATAACTTACTTTTACTCCTCTCCATTTCATGAAAAAATTTGTCCATTATGTTTCTAAGATGAGGGACCTCTTCAATAGGCATTGCAGTGGCCCCAGACGGATGTCGCTGTCGTATATCTTCACTGTCCTCGCTGTCCTCTGAATCTGACTCGGGAGGTATGGATGGGTCCGAGAGTGATGGACTAAGCCGGGAATAACAATGATGATTACGTCCACCTCTTCCATCTACGCTAAACCTCTGACCAGAAGCTAGTCGCACCAACAACCGATGTAGTGCCTACAACAATAAATTTGTTAAAACAATTACAGATAATGCCATCCAGTCTTCTAAATCCACTGACACATACTGTACAAATGTATGATAATTATTAGAGGTACAGTATTACAAAAAGTCAAGTTATTATTACCTTGGCGATCTCATCCTTGATACTCCGCAAACTGTTGGACTCCTCAAGGACAGCACATTGTAAAAGAGAGACAAGAACATCTTCAAAGCGGCCAAGTGAAGCCTGAGCCACAGCTTTCCGAAAGTATCCTTTTGCCCACTCGGGCCGACATCTAACAGCAGCTTCAGCATCTCTAAGGGCTTCCTCTGCACAGCCTAAGGTGTGTAGCACATGAGAACGATTGCTCAGCAGCAAATGGTCATAGGAAGCTGTCAAAGAAAAAAAAAAATTACTGCCAGTTCTAGAAATTATTTCTTGTAATATGTACCGTATACAATCTTTTAATTTTGCAGAAGGTGGTGCATTATGTACAGTATACACGTATTTAAAAAATACTGTACAGTACTGTATATGCAATCTGCAGAGAAGAAAAATAGCCTTTATCTTAATACAATGAAACAAGTATATGTATGGTATTTAAAAAGAAGATAAGTGATAAGCGACTTTTGTGTTATTTTGACTATACAGTATATATACAAAACGTGAATAACAATTACGAATCCACACATTTCAAGAGAGATGTTTCATGTTTGGCACCTCGGTCACATACAAACAGTAGGCACTATTGTCACTGCTCAGTTACAAAGGCTACCCTGGGGATGACATTTATTACGTGAGTACTACCGTTCTGTAGATGCTATAAAGCAAGTCACCTGCAGGATTATAGTTGCGAAGATGTGTAGATAATTTCCTCATAATTTTCGGGCTCAACTTAAGTATTCTCTGCTCATTATTCGGTTCATATGAGCACATCCGTTTAAAATTATATGTACAGTATTGTTAATAGCGTTACTAAACCAACCAATTTTTAATCATCTTTAGTGATTATTTGGGTCCCAGTCACGTTTGAAGGAAGGTAGTTTAGGAACCATTAACCAGCAAAATATCTGGGTCAAGTTATCAAATCTTTGTCCTTTGTTTATTTAATATTTACACCTAACTGGGGATAATAAACACATCCAACTACGACTCGGTCTCTAAATTCAAGGTTGTAACATAAAATATGACTCGGATCCGTTCTACTGCCTATTAAGGGCAACTTCAATGTTCGAACAATAAGATCCGAGACCTGGCTGGCGAAATAATCGACTAGGAGTGACGCAGGGTGCGACAGAATAAGGTTAGGTTACCTTAGGACAGGGGTGGGCAATTATTTTTGATGGAGGGCCACTTCATGAATGGTGGCACACTTCGCGGGCCACAGGTTAACAGCGGCGAGCCAGTATTGCTGCTATGTCCACCCAACTTCCAAAATTGTCCTTTCTGTAATTAATAAGAATTTTTTTTTCTGATTGCCAAATGCAATGGCGGGCCACAGAAATAATTTGGCGGGCCAAATGTGGCCCGCGGGCTGCACTTTGCCCACCCCTGCCTTAGGAGGTGGGAGCGTGTTCATAAAGTTTAAGAGGTTTCACATGTTGCCATGATATGTCAAGCAAGACAGCAGTTTCAAGATGGCAAAGAGAAATTGGCAGAGTACAGTATTATTAAAACACCGACGATGAGCCGGTGTCTTCTGTGGATCCCAAAATCAATTCATAATATTTACAATTCTGCTAATTTCAACTTGAGCAACACTTAAAACATAATGGTACACTCTTGAGTAAATATTCAAATACAGTGTAGTGGATTTCTCCCCTACAAACGCTGTTTGTCGCTGAGTAGCCGACCCCACCAATTCCCCAGTGTGTGCCTCGTGGTCTAGGTCAACCAGAGCCGCCATACATCACGGAGCGGGGGTCAACTACTACGCCACGCCTACCCCCCGCTATTTAAGACCTGACCTCGTGGTGACCTGTCTCTTTCGACCTACACCAACCAACAAGCAAGCAACACCGCCTCCTCCGCCGCTGCCTGGCGGCCCTCGCTCCTCCTCCGCCGCTGCCTGGCGGCCCTCGCTCCTCCTCCGCCGCTGCCTGGCGGTCCTCGCTCCCGCCGGCGACCATGGCGACCCACAGGCTGGTCCTCCTCTGAGCATCCTCACCAACCAGCTCTCTCTACATCACGCTTGTGACCATGCTGCCTTCCCAGCACCAAGCTGCATTGTACATCCAATACAACATGTATATAGAGAGCACATTGTGAGTTTCCTTTCTCCATCCCATCCTGAGTGTGAACCAAACATCCTATACCCCACAACAGTATACAGAAGGGGGGGGGGGCTGTACCCTTTTCGAATTCCCCAGCCTGCGCCTCCAGCGCCGCCTGACGTAGCGGGGATCAACTATCAACCCACGCCTACCCCTGCCTTATAAGACCTCACCCCGCTGTGACCAGCCACTTCCTACCTACAGCCACCAGCAAGCAACACCTCCCCCTCCGCTCCAGCCTGGCGGCTCCCGCTGGCGACCATGGCGTCCCTCAAGCTGCGTGCCCTCCTCTGGGCACCCTCACCAACCAGCTCTCTCTCTACTCAACGCCTGTAACAATGCTGCCTACCCAGCACCAAGCTGCATTTTACAGCCAATACATTAGGTATACAGAGAGCACATTGTGAGCTTCCTTCCTCCAACCCATCCTGAGTGTGAACCAATATTTCATAACTACAATATACTGTATAGCTGTTAACTGTACATGTGACATTCTTTATGCAACTAGTCACCACAAACCAAATTTTTGCTTTTGAAATCATGGTTACCAATTTAATATGGCGTTTTACTGAACCCTGATTAAATTACAGTGGCGGGATAGAGGCTGACGAAGCGTGGAGCAAAATATTGATATCGGATGCAGGATGGGGGAGGGTGTCTGACTTGGCCACGTGACTGCGCGCGTCTGCCCACAGCTTATGTAAGTTGCAGGGAGTCCAGGGTTGTTACTCTGCTTTCCCTTTAGAATATTCACCAGTTGCACATCAGTCGAGATAACAAATAAAAGAAAGGAAAATTAGTATGCATAAGTGTGAAGAGAAGTGCATCCGTAAAGGTTATTATAGTGCCTGCAATATTTCAGGCTACTTCATAAAAATAGCTGTCTCGTGAGGCTTCCGTCTCTCCACCAGTCAAGTCACTCGTGGCTATTTAACCCCTCCAATACGGTGGACGCCACTTTGTTATTCTCTTGGGCTGTCAGAAGATTTTATTCAGCAGACCTCCCGTAATCAATGGGTCAATATGGCCACTAAGATTTGTCCACCCCCCCGTAGCAGTTAACTCACGTTAAAGATGAAAACACGATTACCCAAGTCTTTACACAACAGTATTTATTTTTTATTGAAATCTCAGTCAACAAAACGCATCCAGAAATTTCGTATACCATCACCTCTTAGTGATAAGATTCAGTCAGATATGAACAAGACTTTTCTCAAGGGTTCAATTGAGCTCTACAAAACTGAAACCAAACATTCCCATAGGCATTCCACGACAAATGATAGAATCTCTATCACGTCTGGGAGAAAACGGAAGCAATCATCTAGTCTGGAGACGAGGCTTACCGAGTTAGGTCTATCTGCAAGGGGTGACAGGGTACACAAGGACGTGATGGACTAAGCCTAACCTACTGCTTTGTTTGGCGTGTTGCCTGGCTGTGGGAGTACTGTGGTGTGGATTGTATGTATATTATGTATGTTGTATGTATACTATGTATGTACCCCATTTATATACATTACTTATCTAGTCAGTAGCGTGTGGCAATGCCCTTTAGTCATGTCGCCACACACTTAGATAATGTGCCTGGCGACATCTGGAAGCTGCAATGTACCACTTGCCACATGTCGCCAGGCACATTATCTAAGTGTGTGGCGACGTGAATAAAGGGCATTGCCACACGCTACCGACTAGATAAGTAATGTATATAAATGGGGTACATACATAGTATACATACAACATACATAATATATATACATGGATGATAGTTTTATTAATGTGGCAGCGGTCTAAAGAATCCCAGTGAAATAAGAAAGCTGTTGAAATGCAGCTTTCTTAGGATATCCTTGATAGAATCGACTTAAATGTTTATCCCTATTTGTAAACGTCCACTAACATTGTATATGTTGAACCAATGTAAATTGTATGTTGAATTTACTAAAGAAAAAAAATAGTATTGTTCCGGTAATGGCAATACTGTTAACAGTGATGTCAACACAGAACACAAGAATGTCGCCACAGGACTTGTCAGACTACTAGAACCAATGACCTGGGTACAGTTCCAAGTAATAAGACTAGTTCCCCTGAAAGTGTTTAATAAGTATGAACTCTAATGACCGCTGTTGTTTGTTTGTTTCATAAATGATATGCCTGACGTTGTACACTCCTCCATACAAATGTTTGCCGATGACGCCAAGTTATTTCGGGAAATTAAGAACCAAGCGGACTGTGAAGAGCTGCAGAAGGACCTCTGTGGGCTCCAGGAATGGTCGAAGGAATGGCTGCTGAGATTCAATGTCACGAAGTGTAAGAGGATGCACCTGGGGCGTACCAACGGTAAGGAGGCGTACCATATGTCCCAACGGGATGAAGAAAATGTACTAGTTGAGACTGTGTGTGAGAAGGACCTAGGTGTGTATGTTGACAATGAGCTGAAGTTCTCGGGCCATTGTGAGAAGAAGGTAAATCAGGCAAATAAATTATTGGGTCTTATAAGAAGGTCGTTCAGATATCTAGACGGTCCGTCCCTCGTGACGATCTTCAGGAGTGAAGTGCTTCCCCATCTGGAGTACTGTCACCCCATCTGGTCCCCGAGATATGCTAGGGACTGTCAGTTGGTTGAAAATGTTCAAAGGAGGGCCACCAAACTGGTGCCTGCACTTCGGCATCTCAGCTACCCTGAGAGATTGGAGCGCCTGAACTTGCCTAGCTTATACTACAGACGGGCAAGGGGGGACCTAGTTGAGGTTTATAAGCATCTCAGGGGGCACTACTCAGTTGAGTGTCCTTACTTGGAGCTGGCGGACGCTCGCCCCACAAGGGGTCACAGCTCAAGATTGAAGAAGCCGCAAGTCCGGAAAACCGTGAGGGCAAACTTTTTCGGAGTGAGGGTTGTAAACTCTTGGAACAATCTACCAGAGAGTGTTGTGACGGCACCGAGTATGAGCTCTTTCAAGAGAAGACTTGACCAACACTGGAGCGGGTTCAGGTACATTCAGGAGCCGGTGCATGCCCAGTATTTGCCAACAGTGCGTGACAGAGACGTGACCGATCGCCCGGGCGGCTAGCGAGCCGACCTTTTGGTGAAGAATATAAAGGAAAAGAGACGTGACCGATCGCCCAAG